TTGCGTGTGAATGTTTGTGTTCCAAGCTCTTCTCCGTAAAGTTTTATGCTGCTGCTGATTACTTGACGTAACTGCTTAATGAAGGAGCCCGAGTTTCTTGCGGGTAGGCAAGCTAAAATCGTTTACAAAGGACACCACATCGGCACTTTTGGCATTGTTCACCCGGAGGTACTTGTGATTACTAAAATTCTGTTGGCTTGATTTAGGGCTTATTTGGCAATGTTGTGAGCCTTAAAAGCTGCTGCGATGTTGACGATATGGAAGATTGTGGAAGAACATTCAAACTGCCGTTTGATAAAAACATTATTTAAGATGCTATAAATTGAATAATATTCACAATGTTTGGTAAATATCCTTATAAGCAACTATGTGTTGGGTGCTTCTCAGAAGAACCACAATTATTGAAGATATCAAATGCAAATTTCTACACTTTGCTGTCACAAACCACCAGAAGCAAAAGACCACGTCATTCACAAATAGGGCCTTAGCATGGAAAGTTATTAGTTCGTTTTGCATGCCTATGTTTATAGGGGTTTGTTTTATTATCTTTGTAATTGTCTGTTGTTTGTCTAACAAGCTAATATGCCCATAAATGCCGGTGCGAGAGGTATTGTCTAGCGAGTGGAAATAATTAGAAGGAGGCATGGAGTGCATACTTCAGTGTTCCAACGATGTAATTATATCTCAGTGGCAATAGTTGTGTCTATTTGACTTGGCACATTTTCCTCAACATTTCATATTATTTGTATCTAGAAGTTTCAGAATGTCCTTGCAGGTGCAAACCAATCAGATAATGTGCTTTGGGGTCAGATGCATTATAACCAATAATGCTTATGTTTTCTTTCAGGTATTAAGCAACTTTGACATTCCTGATCCCTGCTCCTTCGCAGAACTCAACATTGAAAGCTTCTTATAGAGATTAACTAACTGGAGATGTGAGTGTCTTCATCAATATTATCTGTTGTAAGTCATTGACAATGCAGTTTGTATTTTCTTCATCAAGTAGCTTTACTCAGCTATTCACACCATCATCCCTCAATTATTACTCCCCTCCTCTCTCCCGGGTAATTTTGTTTGGGCTGATATTCGCCGACTTTTCTGCAGGTAAGCTGGTGTTCCCCCACTGCCTCTTTTGATTCACATTGCACCTTCAAGCTGTGAATTAGGAGCTCTACCGCTTGACTGCTTTGTTCATCATACATGGGTTTCCTGGGAACTTAAAGCAACTGTAACTGGGAAAATGGAATAACATATTTGCCCGAAAAGGGCTGTTTATTTACTTGACAGTTTTGATTATTGGAAGCTATTTGCTACCTGATAAAAATGACTTCCGAGTTGCATAGCTTTATATGGGAAGGAAGAAAAAACTTTGATTTTGGCCTTACAGGCTTTGTATTTGATAAATTCGAATTTTATTTGATGCTAAAGGGGAGTGGCGAGAATGTTTGCTAATCAAGGGGAAGTCAGTGGACATAGCATTTCATATTGCGTGATTCTTTAGAAGTCCATTTACTACTTCTGTTATTAATTATAAGAACTAGTTAGTTAATTTGAAGAGATTAAGAAAAGAAGTTAAATTAGTTATTTGTAATAAATATGTAGTCTTTTTTAAAATATCTTTACTAATTAAGTGTATTGGTAAAACTAACATTGTTAGAAGGATTACTTTAAGAAAAAATGCATAAATATAATAGACAAAATGGATTGGATTGTTATATTTAAAACTAAAATAAAAGTCAAATAAAATTTTATATTAAGGATCAGAAGTAGTAATATTTTTCGGGGATAATTAGGTTGCTAGTTTTTATAGTTTCATCCAATTTTAAATTAGATCTATGTAGTTTTTTTTATTATTATATTTAAATCCTTATTGTTTGCTCAATTTTGATGAGTCCTTCCATTACTAACATTGTTAGTTTAAGTAGATAAGGGCTTATGTGGCAGCATTCATTGTCTTCTTCCTCAGCTTCTCTCCCTCTCTCTTCCTTTCAATCTCCTTTAAACCACCCGATGCTCTCTCTACATAATGATCGTCTTACTTGCCCATCTTTTCAACTAATAAGGCCCACTGTCCTTCCTCACTCCCCCTTCTATTCTCACTCTCACTCTCTCTCCCCCTTCCTTTCTCTCTCTCTACTACCTTCACTGTCATGAGAGATTCTTTCAAGAACAACAAGTTCTTCCCATGATAATCATGGTGAAGAACCCAATCAGACAAGAAAATGCGGTAAGTTAGAAACGAAACTATCTCCAAACATTTGTTGGTGAGCTCGCAGGAGGTTGATACCGTCGCTGTTATGACTTCTAGTGGAAACTCAATATTTTACTGTCCAAGGGTTTAACAATACAATTAATACATGGAGAATTTTGACACCATGAATGTTAGAGACCATATCGTCTTCATTCGTAGAAATTAGAGAGAGAGAGAAACGAAGGAGAGAGAGAGTGAGAATGGAAGGGGGAGTGAGGAAGGAGAGCGGGGGTTTGTTAGTTGAAAAGGTGGGCAAGCAGAACAATGATGATGCAGAGGGAGTATCGGGTGGTTTAAAGGAGATTGAGGGGAGGAGGGAGGGAGAGGTGAGGTAGAAGACAATGAATACCTGCCACGTAAACCTTTCTCTACTTAAACTAATAGTGTTGGAACTGAAGGACCTTATCAAAACTGAGCAAACAATAAAGATATGATAAAAGAAAAAAAAATATAGAGACCTAATTCAAAACTGAATGAAATTATAAAGACTAGCAAACTAATTATCCCATATTTTTCGTCTGGTAAAAAGAGCGCATAGTATACAAAGGGAAAGAGATAACGTCATGCTTGGTCGGAGTTCAAAAAACGAGTATTTAAGGATACAATGAAAAGTGAGAAATTTCATGCCATTTTTTGGGGGATGTCTTCTTCCATTGCTTCATATATCTGCTACCCTCTTTTACCCCCACATGAGCATGACGTCGCTTTTTGTGTCGTATCAACTAATTTGATTTTTTTTTAAGTTAATACAATTCTTGTTCCTCAAATTTTAATAATAGGATTACATGTTCAAAATTTTTATTCAATTATAAGGATTAATATTCTAAATAAAAAGAAATTAAAAGGATTAAAACCTGTGATTTAAAACTTGTGAGATTAAAATCAAAATAAAAATAAACTTAAGGTTTGATGGTCTAAAAGTCATATTAACTCTTTTATTATTATTATTATTATTATTATTATTATTATTATTATTATTATTATTGTGTTATTTATTTTAATTAAAAATAAATGTCAATCATTCAAATCAAGTATTTGATCAAAAAAATTATGCTTACTACGCAAAGAAATTATCTACAAAATGAGTCTTAGATTATTAGATAATTAATTTACAATAAAAAGGGATCTTAATTATTTCAACGAATGCTATTTTTGATTCTTAACGTAACTTAAATTTTAAAAAAATTTAAACTACAGAGTGAGTGTTATATTATATCATATTATATTATAGGAAAAATTAATCTTTTAGTTCTCTAATTTTTAACTCACTTTTAACTCAATTTTCTAACTATGACTTGACGCGACTCAGTCCCTAAACTTTCAAGTTAGTTATGATTTAGTCCCTTAACTTTACACATTTAATAATTTAATCCTTTTTCATATATAAATTATGTTGAGTTATCAATTAATTATCTGATGTGGCAAAAATATTATTTAAAAGTATTAAAAATGGCAATCAGAGCTTCCTGTATGGGGAAAAAAACATAAGCTTTCTTCTTTCTTCTTCATCCACCTCGACAAGGCCAACAGATGCAATAAGAATAGATGTGAAAAACAAGTAAATAAAAGTTTGGTGGACCAAAAATAGAGATTACTGGAAACCATAGCAATTTTATGCCATACATGAGACTCCATTTGAACTATGCTCCTCTAACCTGGTCTCCAAATGTCAAAAGTAACGGACATAAAGGTGCCAAGGTGCTTTTAGTTGTGTAATTGATTCAACTTCAAGGATACAATTCGATAGTGCTAATTTATATTGGAATTATATAGTGTTGTCATGGGCTTGGGCTGCATACGGTGCGGCTGACTTATATTGGGTGCACATTTGTAGCCTTTTTTGAATTTTCCCAGCGTGGCCCACCGGAGTGGTTGAGGAAGAAAGCTGATGCTCTTTTTTTCCCCCCTCATGCTGGAAGCTCTAATTGCAATTTTTAATACTTCTAAATAATATTTTTGCCACATCAGATAATTAATGATTACTCAACATAATTTATATTAAATGTGAAAAGTTAAAGGACTAAGTCATAACCGAGTTGAAAGTTCAGAGACTGAGTCACGTCGAGTCATAGATAGAAGATTAAATTAAAAATAAGTTAAAAATTAGAGGGCCAAAAGATTAATTTTTCCTATATTATATTATATTATATTATATTAAAGATCGGAGGAAGTATTTGATATTACTGATCTACTCCCCCCCTAATCCGACGTTGAAATGAACACGATGATGAGAATCGGTTAATGGAATACCTTGCACTCCCTGATCTCACATTCTATTTGTTGATAATTTCTCCATTCATTTCAAGTTTGAGGGCAAGCCTTTCAAAACGAACACGGCGAGAAGCGGTGTCTCCATACGTCAAGCATGATCAAAATCGGGAGCTCATGGAATGACTCCAAAGAGGACACTTGGGTCGGGAAGAAAACTCTCAAGCTTCAATGGATTTGCCACAAAAACTGCAAAAAACTGTCGTCAAGAGGCCGCGACTCTTGTGACTTGCTCGATAATCTTTGACTTTACGTGCCGCAAATGTTGTTCTTATTCACAGGTCATTCCAAAAGATCTAGCAAACTATGAGCGCAGTTTCAGACTAATTTCGGCCCCAAATTCATCTTTCTGGCTCACAATTGCGACAAGGATGATGTTCGGCATTGTGAGGGAAGGGACCATAGAAGGTTTTGTATAGATAGCTAATAAATTCATGAACCTTGGCCTCAGGACCTTGGGGTTGATTAGCATTTAGCAATCATGTCGAATATAGCTATCCTTGTTGTTTTCGCTCTCCTCATTTGTTCCTCCTCTGTCGCTAACTCCAACAGATTATTGAGTAGGCAATTTCTGCCACCACCACTCACAGGTCCAGAATCTCTGGCATTTGACTCAGTCGGTGAAGGACCTTACACTGGTGCTTCTGACGGAAGAATCTTAAAATATGTAGGACCAAGTGATGGTTTTGTTGAATTTGCTTCCTCCTCGCCATGCAGGTAATTTTTTGATTCTGCACATGCCCTTTAAGAGAGGTCTGCTTCTGATTAAAACTAGATGTTTGATGCTTCAGGAACAAAACCATCTGTGATGGGATTTCTGATTTTTCAGAAATTCAAAAAACATGTGGGAGGCCATTGGGATTGGCTTTCAATTATCAGACAAGCGAACTGTACATAGCAGATGCTTATTTTGGACTCATGAAGGTGCCTTCCTCTGGAGGGTCTCCAACCCAAGTTGTTTCTTGTGTAGAAGGGAAATCTTTTCGATTTCTAGCAGGCTTGGATATAGACCCTCAAACTGGAGTTGTTTATTTCACAGAAGCTAGCACCACTTACCAGATCAGGTAAATAATCCTTTCCTCTTGGTTGTCTTCACAAGGTTGCATAGCTGGGGATGTTGAAACTATCATTGCCCACGATAAATATCAGACCCAACTGATTGACCTAACAGGGGAAACAAAAAAGGACACCAATCTTTTCATTGGGTCAGATTAACAACATTCAAAGGAGTTAGCTCAATCAAATAGCATGCCTTCTTGCGAGATCTGCAGAAGAGATTAAAATCAGATAATACTAGCCATGCACCCAAAAAGTAATGGAAGAGCCGGCTAGGAACTAGAGAACCAATATAGAAATTAGCAGACCTATAAAAAATGATCAGGAACTAATGAACTGGGATTTTTCATACTTCTTTCTTCTTATTATTGAAACCACGGTGGATTGGATACTAAAAACATCAAATGTACGGAACAAAATTTTCAGAGATCTACCGACACTACTTAGGAGTGGAGATAATTCGGGAAGCCTGGTCAAATTCGACCCATGCACCATGGAAACGAGTGTGTTGCTTAGAGATCTAGCAGTGCCATCTGGGGTGGCTGTAAGCAAAGACGGTTCATATGTGTTAGTGAGCGAGTTCATGGCCAACAGAGTCCAGAGATTCTGGCTGGAAGGTGACAAACAAAACACATCAGAAATATTCTTACAGCTCCCTGGAAAACCAGATAATATCAAGAGGAACTCAGCGGGGGACTTCTGGGTGGCGGTGAACAACCAGGTGGGATCGCCACCACCGTCAAGGCCGCCGGTTCTGCCTCTGGCAGTGAGAGTGGATGGGAATGGTTTTGTTTTGCAAGAAGTGGCCCTGGTTGAGGAATATGGTACTGAAATGGTGAGTGAAGTTCAGGAGTTTAACGGGAAGCTGTATTCTGCTTCCCTTGATGTTTCCTATGTCAATGTTTTCATGCCTTAAGAGATAATACTAATGTTTTTAAGCTTCCAAACCAAACCCAGCTTGCCACGTTGCTACGGTACGGTGGCATAAGATACTAATGGAGAACATGTCATTTATCAAATAATTCAGAGAGATTTATAATATCTCTTTCCTTCTCTATTGCAGTACACGCGCGGCTTTTCCCAATACGCCATACTTTTCCCACATACATGAACAATATGTTTCTACAAATTTAAACATAGAATGTATTACAAATTTTTCATGAAATAATAAACCAAAAGATTAATGATTTTTTTCAATAATAGAACATTAACATTGTAAACCAAGATAGTTAAACAGCGTTCACCCAAAAAAAAAAACATAGGTAAATATCATTACGTTGATTTGATTAAAAAAAATGTACACTTGTCTACCAATATGTACAAGTATACATTTGATTCTTTAATAACAAATTAAATCTAATAATTTCTTGCAAAATAAATATTTTTGTTATCGTGTTCTATTTTCTATAATCACCTTAGTTATTTTCATATACGGAATAATTAAATGTTTAGACTATAAGATTAATTTTAATTTAAATACCAGAAAAAATATTTTGATAAAAGAATATTTAAATGTTATTGAACAGATGTAGGGGTGAGAGAATTTTTTTTGGGGACAAAAGAGCGAAAATTTATCATAATAATTAATTGTTAAACTTTAGTTTTAAAAAAAAGAGGGAAAAAAATAGAAAAGGATGAGAGGGGGGAAATTCCGGTAATGGGCTCGGGTTGGGTAATGGGCTATTTTCGACCATGGAAAAAGAAATGGACAACCCGAACTACCGAAATTGGTGACCCGTCTTTTTGGTTCGAAGGAAAACAGATTTACGGGAGAAACTGGAAAAATCAGCAAATTTTTCTGAAAAATTTTGCATTTTGCACTGCTTTGCTCTCACATCAATTGTTCTCACACAGATTTACTTATGGATGGCCATTAAAATAAAAATGCCTCCAAAATTACAAAAATTATCCGATAAGGTGGACATGGTCTTCGCTTCCTTCCGTAGATACTTTAGCATGAAGCAGCAAAGCTCCAAGGTCCAGCTTTTGTACGACCACTGCAACAAGATCTTCACGCCTTCCGGAACACCTCGTCCTTCTTCTCAAGCCTTACAGAAGCTCTCTTCAGTTCTTGGTATTTTTTATTGAACTTTAGATGTGCATTTTTTCTATTGTTATGCTCTTCGACTTATAGTTTTACTCAGTCGTAAAACTATGCTTATGGGTAGCTCAAACAAATAGTGCTCGTAGCTAGTGCTGCAAGTAGCGACTATTGTCAATGTTGTTATGGGTGTTAAAGTAAAACGCTGGAATTAATTCTTTCATATTAGAATAGAATTAACATTGCAATGCTTGAAATTTTCGACTCTAATTTGAAGGATGGAACGCATTTCATTTTATCTGTAGAAACTGTGAGGAATAAATAATTTTGTAATTAATACTGATTGAGAAAGATATTAGAACTATAAAACTTGTGCACTCATGGACCTGTGTAAACTGGCTTTCCAGGGGGCGTGTCATTGGCTGGTTCTAGAAAATTTTTACTTTTTGAGAAAAATCATAATTGGTGGCTTAATATGATTTGGAGGACATCAATTCAAGAATCTTTTTTCTGGCCTCTGTAACTCTGAAGTGCTTCATAAAAGATTAATCTATTTCTGCGTAAAACTCAGCCTGTTGCTTAAACTATCAAGTAATTTTACAGTAGCCTTAGAATTTGATATTGGTATTAGACAGTTGTCTAGTTTGTTTTATTTATCAAAATAAATTTTTGGAGGAAAACTTGAAATAAAACTGTTCTCTATGTTTAGATTGTAAGCTATGCTGCAGCCCGGTTAATATGTTTGAGGGAAATAAAATCCATTTCTAAGGCAAGGAAAAAGAAGACGTATGCAATATATAATATGTACTAAACTTCCCTGGTTGCTGCTTTGCATGAATGATCTTTCGAGTCTCTTTACTGACAAAATACAGATAACTTTATGATCTCAAGAGGTTGGAATTTAACTCTGGTTAGAATACTATGATGAATGATTTTTCATGCGCTGTTAACAATGCATGACTTAGCAGACACTGTTCAACCAGCTGATGTTGGGCTTAAAGAGGAAACTTCAGATGATGATCGAGGCCATGGATTCTTTGGAATTACCCAACTGAATAGGGTAGCTCGATGGGCTCAACCAATAACATATGTGGATATTCATGAAGGTGACAGTTTTACGGTGAGCTTTGATGTGACATTTACTCAGTTACAGAACCGACATGTCAAACCTCTAGACTCACAAGTGATGAGTTAGTGATCTGACTTGCAATTTTATATTTGTCTCTTGTTCATATTATGTGTGGCCTGAAGGGCAGTAGCAAATAAAAAAGAAGGGGTAGAAGGTGAAAATGAAACCCATTAGCCATAGCCCTTTGAGTATCTGCTGGTCATTCAAATGGGAACTAGTATTTGCATGCTGATTTCTTAAACTTAAGCTGACATTTACTCTAGCCATTTGCTAGCAGCACATATACTGTTCAGCTTCTCTTCTCTCATTCTATGCTGTTAATTTGTAAATTTTACTCTTAATTGAAAGAAACATAGTAAAATAGTATTAGTGTAACTAGGCCAATAGTTTATCTTGCCATTTGTGTAAGCTTCATTTCTGGGGTCTAGGCTTGTTTGTGTTTATATGTCGTTTATGTTTTATCTATCTTCTAAAGAAACAAGTGCCTTTGTATTTAATTTACCAAAAGTACCTGATTATCGGTACATGTGTGACTCAGAACTCAGGTTTATCTAAACTGTTCCTTATTTTCTTGCAGTCAGACTGATCATGATGTCTGTATCTAAAAATTAATCATAATGATTTTCTTGTGATTTTTCCACCCACTGTGAAATGGAATTTACTCTTAAGAATAAAACAAATTCATTTGGTGCAGATGTGTATATTCTGCTTTCCTACTTCTTCGGTGATTCCACTCCATGATCACCCGGGGATGACTGTATTTAGCAAACTCCTCTATGGTTCTTTGCATGTGAAAGCTTATGACTGGGTCGAGCCTCCCTGCATTGTAGAAAACAAGGAACCTGGAAGTGCTCCAGGTATGACATAATTATATTACATTTTTCACTTCCTTTCTTTAGTTCATCCTTGAAAGTGAAGACCTTGTCCTGCCAAAGTGTAGTCTTCCTTACAGAACTCAAAATATCTACAATACATGTCATTTAAAAGGAAAATTATGTAAGAAAAGAAGTAGACCACTGCTTGAAAAATCAATATATTTTCATAGACTTCTCAAACCACAAGTCTCCTGGCTGGGAACTATGAGCACGCAGATGCAGATGTGATGGCGATCAACTCTAAGCTCATGATGATGACTCGTGTAATAGTCATCCTGAACATCTATTATCTAATGCTCATATAGTTGATTGTCTTAAATCTACTGGACTCTATAATCAATAGGACTCATGGTTTGTTTTCCCCTGTATAATGTGGTCTATCTTTGTTTTTGGTTTATTTATTCTATTAATTTATTCTATTAATGATATCAAACCTCAATAGGTCACAAAATTTATTGCCTCTCTTCCTCCTTCTCTACGATGAAGGTAACAATAATGATGTCTAGTGATGCAATCAATTGCCTTCATATGATGGCAGCCATTTTTTTTCTGATTAACATAGTAAATGGTTTGAATCAGCACAAGACGAGCAAATGGTTGCAACTTACAAGTCAGAATGATTTCACTATGTGATGTAACACACTCACACACTTGTACAGATGCAAACAAAGGGGATTATGAGGGAGACAGATAGGGGAAGAGAGAATCGAGTAACAGAAATGGAGGGGGAAGAAACAGAGCGAAAGAGCTTTTTTTTTTTGGGGGGGGGGGGTCATAAGCAGCAAATCGCATTATTCATCAAAATATACTTGCATGTGCTGCATGGTGGCTATTTACAGAAGCCACTACTCAGGTTTCCTTCTTATGAAGGAAGCATAAAAAATAAAATAAAGGTTTCCTTCTCAAGAAGGAAACATCCCACTTGCAGCCCATATGCTAAATAAAGTGAAAAAGAAAGTAATAAAATACGAAAGTAAGATAGACTCCCTTCTACATGAGGTTTCTTCAAAATATATCGATTCTTATATTCCTTTGCTATGATATCAAATTTGGTTTATAATAACTATGAATTCTACTTCTGTTATTGCTGAGGACCCAATTTGTATATTACTCATGAACTCTCTTCTTGAACATCGAGCACCCAAATTTGTTTGATCATATATGGTATTCTGGAGCTTTTTCTTGGACATCAGTCAATTTGGAAATCATCACTTCTTGCCTTATACTTCCTGCCTTTCTCTGTCAAGTAATTTATAATTCTTCCGAGCATCTCTTATTTTCGGTTTTTCCCCTTCCTTGTAGTACGACTGGCGAAGTTGGCAGTTGATAAAGTTTTGACTGCACCATGCGAGACATCAGTTCTGTATCCAAAGGAAGGTGGTAATCTGCACTGTTTCACGGCAGTGACCCCCTGTGCTGTGCTAGACATTCTCGCACCTCCTTACAGTGAAGATGCAGGAAGGAAGTGCACATACTATCACGATTATCCTTATTCAGCATTTGGTAATTAACTGCTAACAAACGTTGCCTATATTCTGTGGATCATACTACTGATTGAACCCCAAGTTGCAAACGAGGACTGCTTTAGTTCAATTGCGTTTTCCCATTCTAAAGTATGCCAATGCTGCTTAAAATTCTTGTAAACTCGTTTGTTCATTTGGAATCGGATATCAGAGCCATATCTCAGAGTTTTCTGTTTGTTACTACACTGCAGCAACGGGAAATGGATCTAAGGTATGTGATGGAAAAGAGGAGGAATATGCTTGGCTTGCTGAGATAGAAACGCCTAGTGACCTTTCCATGCGGCAGGGGGTTTACTCTGGTCCGGCTATCCAGACCTAGCTCTGGCTGTATGTTTCCCGTTTGATGTGTGGGTGACATGAATGCTGGAAAATATCTGCCATCCTTTTACTCCTGGAGGATCTAAAGTAATTATACGTAGCATTTTCTGGTGGATTCCTTTTCGTGTATGCATACTTGGGAGTAAAGTCTTGATTCAGAATCCGTATTACCGTATTTATCCCTTTTTCTTTTTCTTCGGGATGTATCATCTTTTTATCCGAGAGTCATAAATCCTGTAAATATTCAGTCAAAGGTTATGGCTATAGTGATAACTGGATTTTCTCGTCACATGTCTCCTTCCGTTCCTTGGATGTGATTTTCTATTCGAAACATGCCTGACACTAAATGTAGGTAATTTTCCCGATAAAAATTCAAACGTTATAGGGTGTGTTTGGATTAGCGGTGGGAGAAGTAACTTTTTTTCAAGGGGGAATTTCACTGTAGGACCGTAGAAGGCAAATAATTTCAAAGAGCCCCCAAAACTTTCTGAAACCTCACTGCAGGACCAAGGGACCAATCTGATATTAATTTTTAGAGTGAGATTACAATAATACCCCTCCCTTTTTATTTTATTAAAAAATAAATATTTACCGGAGTTACTGTTCCGGCTACCGGTCGGACCGGCGCCGGCGGGTGGCCGCCGTCGGGATCCGGTCACCGGTGGCCGGAACAGTAACTCCGGCGGGACTTCCGGTGGCCGGAGTTTTTTTGTTTAAAACAAAGTGGCCAAGGGAGGGTTTGAACCCAGGACCCCTTGGCACACCAAAAAGGTTGTAACCACCAAGCCAAGCAACCCATTCAATCATAAAATGCAAATAAAACTACATATAACAAAATAAACGCAACAGTCCAAATGTAAGTGAACAAGTGAAATTAGACGATTTACAAGTGGAATTCAGAAATTTGCAACAAAAGTTAGGCAATTTACAAATAACATAATAGAAGTCATAACCCAAAATGCAAGTGTTTAGATGCAAATGAGCAAGTAAAATTTGAAGATTTACAATAAAAGTTTATGGATTTACAACCCAAATTTGGCAAACACAAGAGAATTCACAACCTAAAATGTAAGTGTTTGAATGTAAATGAACAAGTGAAATTAGACGATTTACAAGTGTAATTAAGCAATTTACAACAAAAATTAGACAATTTACAAATAACATAATAGAAGTCATAACCCCAAATGCAAGTGTTTAAGTGCAAATGAGCAAGTGAAATTTGAAGATTTATAATAAAAGTTTATGGATTTACAACCCAAATTTAGCAAACACAAGAAAATTCACAACCCAAAATGTAAGTGTTTGAGTGTAAGTGAACAAGTGAAATTAGACGATTTACAAGTGTAATTCAGCAATTTACAACAAAAATTAGACAATTTACAAATAACATAATAGAAGTCATAACCTCAAATGCAAGTGTTTAAGTGCAAATGAGCAAGTGAAATTTGAAGATTTACAATAAAATTTTATGAATTTACAACCCAAATTTGATAAACACAAGAGAATTCACAACCCAAAATGTAAGTGTTTGAGTGTAAGTGAACAAGTGAAATTAGACGATTTACAAGTGGAATTCAGAAATTTGCAACAAAAGTTAGGCAATTTACAAATAACATAATAGAAGTCATAACCCAAAATGCAAGTGTTTAAGTGCAAATGAGCAAGTAAAATTTGAAGATTTACAATAAAAGTTTATGGATTTACAACCCAAATTTGTTAAACACAAGAGAATTCACAACTCAAAATGTAAGTGTTTGAGTGTAAGTGAACAAGTGAAATTAGACGATTTACAAGTGGAATTTAGAAATTTACAACAAAAATTAGGCAATTTACAAATAACATAATAGAAGTCATAACCCCAAATGCAAGTGTTTAAGTGCAAATGAGCAAGTGAAATTGTCGAATTTCACTTGCAAATCTATAAACTTTTGTTGTAAATCTTCAAATTTTATTTGCTCATTTGCACTTAAACACTTGCATTTGGGGTTATGACTTCTATTATGTTATTTGTAAATTGTCTAATTTTTGTTGTAAATTGCTTAATTACACTTGTAAATCGTCTAATTTCACTTGTTCATTTACATTCAAACACTTACATTTTAGGTTGTGAATTCTCTTATGTTTGCCAAATTTGGGTTGTAAATCCATAAACTTTTATTGTAAATCTTCAAATTTTACTTGCTCATTTGCATCTAAACACTTGCATTTTGGGTTATGACTTCTATTATGTTATTTGTAAATTGCCTAACTTTTGTTGCAAATTTCTGAATTCCACTTGTAAATCGTCTAATTTCACTTGTTCACTTACATTTGGACTGTTGCGTTTATTTTGTTATATGTAGTTTTATTTGCATTTTATGATTGAATGGGTTGCTTGGCTTGGTGGTTACAACTCTTTTGGTGTGCCAAGGGGTCCTGGGTTCAAACCCTCCCTTGGCCACTTTGTTTTAAACAAAAAAACTCCGGCCACCGGAAGTCCCGCCGGAGTTACTGTTCCGGCCACCGGTGACCGGATCCCGACGGCGGCCACCTGAGCGCCGGTGGCCGGACCTCCGACCTCCGGTGGCCGGAACAGTAACTCCGGTAAATATTTATTTTTTAATAAAATAAAAGGGGAGGGGTATTATTGTAATCTCACTCTAAAAATTAATATCAGATTGGTCCCTTGGTCCTGCAGTGAGGTTTCAGAAAGTTTTGGGGGCTCTTTGATATTAATTGTCTTCTACGGTCCTACAGTGAAATTTTCCCTTTTTTCAATCTGACTTTTACAAAAGTCAGATTGGGTAAAAGTCAGATAGGATAATGTGATTTATGTTTGGATTGGATTTTGTAAAAAAGTCAGTTTGAGAAATGTAAACTTGTTTGGATGACTAATAAAAAAGTTAGTTTATATGTAAAATGAACAAAAAGGATATGAATTTTATTAAGTAATACTACTTCCAGTCCTTAGTATAAGAGCTAGTTTTGATTTTAAATTTGATTCTAAATATAAAACAATAACTATTTATTATAAATAACTAATTTAACTAACTTTTCTAGTCTCTCCAAATTAATTAACTAGCTCTTATATTAAGAATTGGAGGTAGTACATATTTACTATTAAATGTATATAATGTGACAATTGTAAAAAAAAAATTCAAAATAAAATCATTTAAAATAAAAAATTAATTTATTATTAGAAAGAAATTAAAAAATGCTACCTTTCCACGGCACTGTTACTTTCCACCGGTAAAAGCAGGATTGAAGAGCTTCTTCCATAAGTCCATTTGAGATCTAAAAGTCAGATTATATAAACGCTGTGCCAAACACTACATTTTCTGAAAAAGCACCGTTTGCCATTTGAATCGCACGTTTTGGTGTCCAAACGTGAATGCAAACAGGCCCATAATCTTCCGTCAGACCCAAATCCCGTTGTGTGGAGGAAAATGTTTTTTCACATATGCATATATGTGTATGTATATTTTATACATTTTGCTGAATGCGCGCGCACACAAGGTTTAGTTGCTATATGAGAGCCGTGCTTATGGGAAAACTTTTTTTTTTTTAACTTCAAAAAAGAATCTTGGATTTTTTATAATTACATTTGAAAACTTATCTAATACATATTAAGGTTTTGATACCTCACTGTTATTAGTAGATTGCATGGGATTTCTTTCAAATGAATTGGGAGTAATTTTCTATTCAAAAAAAAAAAAAAGAGTGACGGTCAAATCCAAAACGACAACCGTTTCCCGCCCGGAAGTTTGTTACAATATCCAGATCGTCTTGCTCTTTCTCTTCTTCGCTGGCCATGATTTGCTCACCCATAACGGAAATCCAATCGGCTGTTCCAATCACAATTAATAAATCCATTCTTACTTCCTAACCATTGCCTTCGCGTCCGTCGGCTTCCGCCGCTGGCGCCGCCGGGAATTGCGATGGTCCACAGAAGCAATGCCGTGGTAGGTGTCTTCAACGTGCTGACATTGCTCTTGGGTCTCGCTGCAGTCGGTGGCTCGATCTACATAATCATCCTTGGCGGTCACGCCTCCGACTGTCAGAAACTTCTCCGGAACCCACTATTGATCGGCGGCGTCTTGCTGGTGTTAGTTTCGACGCTTGGGATCGTGGGCTCTTTGGGCCGCGTCAATGTGGTTATGTCAATCTTCCTGCTTGTGACGTTCCTGCTGATCGTGATTCTCATATTCTGGACCGTCTTCGCGTTGTTCGGGACTCACACGAAGTTAGGGCAGCGGATATGGCAACATTATAAGGTCACTGATTTCAAGCATTGGCTGCAGCGTTACGTGATTGACGACTACCAGCATTGGAAAGCGATCAAGAGTTGTTTAATCGATGCCCATGTGTGTCGGAACCTTGCCGTTGACGATGATCAGAACGACGGATATCTGATTTTCAGGCGCTTGTCTATCACCCAGGTTAGTCTTCGTTGTTCCTCCGCAAGAGTCAATATGTCGTACTATGCCTTAATAACCGCGTCTATACATGCATGACCTAACATTTAGACGTACTACCTTTCACACACAAAAAAATGGCGGGTTTGATCAGAAGAAAGGACCAATATAGTATGGTTACGAATGCAGCTCACTATTTGCAAAGATTTAAAATCTAAACAAACCCCTATGTTCTACATTTATGAGTCTGCATGAGAAGTACTCTGCCATGCAATTGTCACAATTAGCTCTAAATCCTCGCCTTTATGTGTATTAGCGTGGTCGATACCACCTATGATTCCATGATGAGATATGTCAGTAGTTAGAAAGAGACTTCAAATTTAAAACTAGGCCAATTTCAGGGGCTCTCAAGAATATTAATTATTTAGGCTTAACGGACGTGTACCATGTGTTTGACCAAACGAAAGAAATACTATCTCCGGTCCTTAATATAAAATTTTATTTTCTAAATATAAGACCCCAATCTATTTTGTTTTTTATATTTATTTTTTTCCTAAGGTAGTCCTTCTAATAATGATGGTTCTAACTAATACACTTAATTAGTAAGGATATTTTAAGAAAGACAACACTTATTTATCACAAATAACTAACTTAACTTATTTCCTTAATCTCTTTAAATTAGTCAACTAGGTCTTATAATTAGGATTGAAGGTAGTATGTAATCTTAAAACACCGGATCAGATAACTAAAACCTCTGCTTCTTCTGCTCAGTCCTCTACGGATATTAAAATGAATGTTTATTGAAGAATGGGTTTGGGTATGTGCAGTCAGGGTGTTGTAAGCCGCCATTGTACTGTGGATTTAGAATGGAGAATGTGACTTTCTGGGTAGAGCCGACGACCGGTCCAGTAGAAAAGGATAGTGATTGCGAGAGATGGAACAATAGGCAAGACAAGTTATGTTACGATTGCAATTCGTGCAAGGGAGGGGTGCTGGCCGACACAAAGCTGCACTGGCGGCGTATCACAATCTGGACCACCCTCGTAATCATTTATTTGACAATCTCATACGTCTTGAGCTGCTACGCCCTCTGGAACAATCGATCAGATTCCCGCCCAAGCAAGCACCACACACAGCCAGCACTAAATAACCCTTGATGATAGCCAGCCAACCACGATATGTATCTTCTTCCTTATCAATGGTAGAAATGGAACCAGGGTCTTACTTCTTGTGTAATTGTTGTACTAATATCCCATAGGCTTCATGTTTCCAGGAGGTACATATGGGTCGGATTTGTACATCTGCTCTCATTTTGTTCTAATGAACAAATTTTGACATGCAGTCATCTGATCTTTCTTTCTTTCTTTCTCCTTCTTCTCTCTTTCCTTTTTTTATTTTTGTGTATGAGCGTTTAGACTACTTTTTTATGTTACTTGACCACATATTGGGGTATCTTCCAGACAAACATGAACTATGTGACAACCACCGTTGTATTTTAATAACACTTCCCATCCAGACCACCGGAAATTCCATTATAATGAAAACACCGTCGAAAAGCTAAAAGGTTGTGGTGTTGTTGAATATTGACTATCACCAAAGTTGAATTATGTGGAATTCTAAAAGGCCTTAGAATATGTGAAGAGGGTGTCCGCAACATAGTGGTTTCTAGTGATTCGATTGAAGTTGTGAACCTAATCAGAAGAGGCGAGCCAATGAATTCTTGGCATTTCAAGTTAAAGTAATATAATATTCATATTTCGTAGGATGCGCTGCAGTGGTTACTACGCTCTCATTCAAAAACCAGATTTGTTCGGCTATCAGCCTTGGAGGTCTCTTTAAAAGTACAGGAAATTGAATGAAGAAGAATAGTTATCAGTATCACTTCACTTCAGAAAAGTAAAAGCAAGGAACAAGAAGAGATAAGCCACCAATGATGTTAAGAGTTCAAGTGTCCAAGTTGGGGGTAGCAACATAGATGGAATATTGGGTAGTGGTACTAGCGATAAGCCACAGATCCTGCCACCAACAAGTGCTCCAAACCTATAATTGAGAGATTAAACAATGCAGAAAATGAACAAACTAAAATCAGAAGGAAAGCATATGTTGGTGCAAGCTGTCTAATTCCCTTGTAACTTACCCTGTAATGGATGCTCTCGCCAAGCTCTTCATCTTTTCGTTAAGAAAATATATGCAGGCGGCCAAAGAGATTGCTACCTGGTCCAAAGATCAAAACGTTCAAATGAATATGCAAGAATGAGAGAGAGCAGCAACGCATAGACGATTATCATATTATCATTTTCTACGTTTCTGGTAAATATACAACACATAGCATAAACCTTAGACCAAGTAGCCAGAAGAGGGGGATGAATATAATGACACATCTTACTGAAACACATGTAAAAGAGATAAAAAAAAACAACAAACCTGAAACGCAAGTCCACTTTCAGCAGAATTCATTATACTCCAGCCCCCCATAAAGGCAAAAAGAAACAATCTTCTGAGGATAACATCGGTTGTTGGAAGTTCAGCATAGTTGAGCAAGTTCTGAACCCAAGGTGGTGACTCTTCCACTTTCTATTTCAGCCGGCTTTTTAAATTAATTTTTGTTTTCTTCCTTTGTCTGAAACTTGCCATTAGTATTTTTTCAAATGCTGCTTCTATTGATTCTTCACTTCTTTCATGCCCAGCATATTGTTGCAGCAGAAAATTTCTTGAACCCTAGTTCCTCCTCAGAAGCATCATAGCTTACCCCAAGGCGTCTGTAAGGATCCCAAACACTGAAACGAGGAAACTTTCGAACACTACCTACAAGGAAAAAATAAGTGTACCATCAACTGATCAGTAAGGAAGAATAGGAAGCACAGAATAAGTGTCCATTTGGCAAAAGATATAGTTCAATTGACACTCAGGCTATCGATCAATGTCCAATCAATGACCAAAAGCTACCAAACAAGAAACATAATAAAGAAATTCATCGTTAATGGATCCATAGCTAATGGCCAAGCCTAAGTGTGGAAGTGTGGAATGTGTGAGGTTTTGGGGGGGGAGGGGGCTGCTGTGTATATTTGGCGCAGAGGAGTTTAGTGTAGGGTTAAGCAGATGGTGAATATCTGTGAGGGAGATAGGGGTGAGAACGGGTGTACAGGGCAGCCCTTAGTTCGGGGAATTACTTATCAGACCCTCAATAACCTGACTTTGGCCTAAGTGGGATGAAGAATCCTATTGAGTACCTTATAATACTCAATGTAGAACTTAGTATCCCATGTTACCAAGTATCCATCAAATACATGAAAGCCATAATAAGAAATGATGGTCGCATACTTGTATACTAAGACATCGGACATAACCAAAAAAGCCAACCTCATATAAGAGGAATTTCTGAAACAATCGGAACATTGGTATTAAAAGCTTTGGCCCACTGGTTCAGTAATCAAAGTATGGTTCTGGGCTTGACAATGTCAGTTAAGCACCATCCTACTTTGAGGTTATGAAATAATTGAGCTTGAATGGCCATTTAGTGAACATCGAGATAGAAGGTAATACCTCCTCCGTATGGCGCATCCACTGCGCATTTGATCCTCCATGAAACACTGCAATGTGCTGTCAGCTTCCTCGCATTTCCTTGGAGGGGCCTGAAGATGATTCAATCAAGGGAATCAAAAGAAGAAGAAACGACAGAACTTTATACAATGGAAAGAAAAATGAATGATGAATTAGGAGATCAACAAACATAACTAGCCTTAACCATATGGAAATTCAGAAGTTTTTTAAAACTTTAAAAAAATTCGAAAAAAGTAAATTAACTGTTGAAAATATTCAACAGGGATATCATGAATGAATAGTAAAGTACTCTTTCGGCTCTTAATATAGGACCTAATTGTTGAGTTGGTTTTGGTTTTAAACACAAGACCCATTTTTTATATTTATCTATTTTCTCTAAATTACCCCTAGGATACTCCCTCAACTATAATCAAGTAAAAGAGAAAGAAAGGTATTAAGAAAGATAATTATGGTATTTTAAGAAAAACGTATAATATTTTTTATAATAACTAACTTATCTAATTTCTTTGCCTAATCAAATTAATTAAATGGGTCTTGTATTAAGGACTGGAAGAGTAATATTACTAATATATCCTACTTTGATATAACATATTCATATTGATAATATCGATTTTTTTTCTTTGTTTATCAAGCTACCCACATAACAAATTTGACGAATAGAAAAAACAATCTCATTCTGAATTAGCCAAGCATATACAGCATCAGAGAATCAAGAGAAGCAACAGAAACTTGCACAAGCAATAAGAATACACACAAGAAGAAGAGAGGGGGAGGGTACAATTTCTTGCCGAGCAAAGCGGTGGCGAAATTGGAAGTCGAGGGCGAAAGTGCGACCATATTGTTATGCTGGTAGCGTAGCCTAAATGCCTAATACAGTAATAGGGAGGACACCATGGGAATTTCAAAGGAGGGTTCAGAAATGGAAAGGCTGAGGCTAAGTTCCCCCGCGCCTTGCCGTTTTGGTCGGGTTTGGGTCGCTGGAGGAAAACTCAAAACTGAAAGAAGAGGAAAAACCTCGCGGATTACCTAAGGGATAACAAGTTTAGGGGGACCCCCCCCCCCAAAAAAAAAAAGGACTTACCACTGAGCAACAACGGGTAAAAATTAAAAGAAAAATAGTAAATAAAAACTTCTAATATGTGAAATTACTATTTGGAACATTTAATTTAGAAAATGACAAATAAAGATCTAATTCTATATAATAAATATGAAATCTTAATGAAATGTCTGAAATCACAACTCAGATATGCCAAATGACAAGTTGACTTTGGAAAATGACAAATTCATTTTGACGAATGACAATTTCGGTAGACCAAATCACAACTTGGCTGAGAGAGATTTTAGACATTTCACCAAGATTTCATATTTGTAATATAGTACTGAGTCTTTATTTATTATTTTTCAAATTGAGGGTCTCAAATAACAATTTCCCATATTATGAGTCTTTATTTGTTATTTTTTCAAAATTAAAACAAGCCCGTATTTCCCAAAATATTAGTATCTTTTCTGGTCCCAAAAAATTAGTATCTTCTGTCTAAGGTGAAAAATGAATGGACTTGAGAATAGGGATACTTTATGGTAATTAGTCATAATTCAAGAAACCCAACATACAATGTCAAGTGATCTGGTATTAATCATAGTACTAAATTATATTAGTCCTATTTATAGTACAGAGGGAATAAATTTTTTTGTCCTCTTTATAAGGCAGAAAGAGAAAATTTTTATATAAATGTATAATTTTATTCTTTATTTATTATTGTGTTAACTTTGTTTTCATAGAGTATAATGTATATTAAGTAAAGATAAAGTTGAAAATTTGTTAAATTTTAAATAGAAGCTAATAAAGTTTAAGATTTTTCTTGTTTGCGTAAAATATGTTAAAAGTGACTTGTAAATAGGACCATGGGAGTAACTTTTTCAGACGTGACATTTAATATTCAACAATGCTTCATATAGGATTGCTTCTAATTAGGGGTGGAAACAGGTCAGGCTAAGCTTTGTCCTTAACAGGTCAGATTGTTTAGTAACAAACTGGTTTGAGCCTGGCTTGTAGCCTGTTATAGGTTTTTTTTAAAGCTTGAGCCTGAGTTTGTTAAAAAAATCTGTAATTTTAAAAATTTTACAATGCATAATAAAAAATACACGGGCTAATTAATAAAAAAATAAAATATATATACTACATAACAATTATTTATTATTATATTTTATTTAAATTTTAATTATGGTTAATATTATTGCAAATAAGTTATAAGTATATATTGAAATTTAAAATAAGACTGGATATAAGTACAAAATTAAAATTAAGATAAATAAACAGATTAGGTCAGGCCTGATAGACTTAAGAGACTTTTGAAAAAGCATAGACCTAACCTATTAGGCTAAAAAAGTCATCAAAAAGGATTGAGTCTTTTTTTATTTTGAAACAGGCCAGGCCAGGTTAAGTCACAGGATGCCTGGCCGTTTTCACCCCTATCTCTAATAGAAGGACACCTATACATAGGGGAAAAAATTAAGACATGATAAAAGAAAGATAAAATTAATAAATGTTGCTAAATATTTAGTAAGTCAGAGAAATCGAAGTACTGCTGCTCAATGTATGTCTCCCAGGAATATAGTAGTGTTAAATACTGAAGGTTGGAGTTTTGCTGCTCATTTTGCCAATAGAACTTTTGCAATTCACGCAACTATACTGGTAATGGTATTAACAAACTTCAGGTTTTTTTTTTTAAATGAGCATATAATCAGGTAGTTTCGGCGGCAAAAAAAAAAATAATAATAATAAGGAGGAGGAAGAAGGAAAAAGAACAGGTCTTCAGCCTGACACCTAAGCATTGTGATATGAATCATATGATACATAATAAAGTCAAGAGCATTTCAATGCATAGAACTCTCGGCACTTTTCTATCCTATCTGCTTTAATTTGATTCCCACTAAACCCGACACAAAAAATAATCTGTGAACTAGCCTCCTTCATACAGCGATTGAACATTTGGCTTCGAATATCACTATCCTTCATTTACATTACATCTTCGTCCCCCCGTGTTAAACATTAGCGCCTTATCATTATAATGCCCATTTTTCTCAGGCGGCCACGATGCAGCCATTACTACCACAACATAACAAACACTTTATAGTAATAATAAATGCATTAATGCTTCAAAATAATTTCCTTTAAAAATAAATTGCCATTAATTTAACTCATTTAATTTTGCTGGTAAAAAAAATCATTTAATTTTTATCTTAAATACACTGCGTTTTATTCACAATTTCTTGGTGCTAAATTCAGTTATTTTTTTGAAATTTGAATTATATATTTTTTTAAAAAATTTTGAACTGTACTATAAAACAATAAATATAACATCTGGAAACCAATCAAATGACAGAAAAGGGAGGAATAATGTCGAAAGCTAAATGGCCAATGGTGTGAGATAATAATTGAATGAGTCATCAAGTCGGGACTCGGGAACAAGGAATCTCCCCATAGGATATTCTCGGCATCAACCAGTTACTTACTATTCATAGACTCGATTGTTTCCCCAATCTAAACTTGGACTTTGCTTTATTTACTCCAGATGACGACAGAAATTACCCGTCTTTTAGACTCTGTTTGGATGGAGAATTCACCTGAATATGTCTCAAAGAACGAACCAGTATTCGTAAACAGTATAAGTAAACCAATTTGCATTAGCAAGAAGTTTATAAAATTTCTCTCTTATTATCTGATAAGTTGGGGAAAAAAAATCTAAATCTATAAGATTACTTACCAAAATATTATGAGTAGGCCAATGAGTTCTATGGACTCGTGACAACAATTGATCCAAACTGAGCCTTAGTCGGATTGGATATGATTAACTCATATAAGAATTTGATCCAGATTCCCGTAAACATCATTAGCAACTAGATTCTCCATCAAGTTGTACTCCATCCACTGTAGCCTCCTTTCTTAGTCGTCATGTTTAATATTGTTCAGTAGGCCTGGCCTACCCCCTGGAGTAAATCTTACTTTCCAAGGATACCTTTTCCTTTACAAGAAAGCAACAAGCAGGGACCTTCAAACCATCATTATGCCCAAGAAAATGATATACTAGAACCAGAGCAATTCACATTTCATCCCCAGATCATCTTCAGAAAACTCTACCATCAAAATAAGGAGCTCCAAATTTTAGAACTGAATGGAGACATCTTCTCTGTTTGAGTGCATAACATGCCAAGCCAATGTTTGGGGCAATTAATCATAGAATGAAAAGGTCGCCGCTTGAAACATATCTTACACAAAAAAGAGGTGGCACCAATGTGAACTATATTAAGCATGCCCGATCTGCAACTTCCAGCCAATTAACACGTAATAAGCTAGGAGGTTGCAGTACCAAAGTCTCTATCAGAAAAAACCATAGTTCTTTTCAGCTTTTTATATAGACGTAATTAATGCCTCGAACAAGGATTGATATTTTATATTTGAACGGGGAAAAATGAAGGCGATAATTTCAAGAAGAAAAATACAATGGAGAAAATGGATAGTACCAAAGAGGATTATAAGAACACAATGAAGTATACATATAATTTAAAGTGGATGGTACCAAAGAAGATTATTTCTCACAACTTGAAAAAGACACCAGTTGAAAACAACTTATTTACTGGTAAGAGACTGTGGAATCTCGGCAATATTCCGATGGGGCTATACCTATATAGCAGGAAAAGGACCCTCAAGATGATAAAAACTTGAAAAGCGATTGACCCATAAAACACATGACAAAAGAGTCAGCTGGGAGAATGCTCTTATCTTGTTGAGAGGCTTGAGAGTAGAAGAGTAAAAAAAATGAACACTGAAAGTAAAAGTAGAAATCCGTCTACGAATAATGCAATAGATGATGAACCACCCCACTTAATATAAGATCCAGTTTGCCAGCACAGGAGCATCACAAACTGGATTGTCGGCAGCCGCAATATTATAGCCAATATCTTGGAAGGTCAGTTCATCCAACCTGATAGTTACATATCATACTCCTACAATGAAAATCATCCATGTATGATATTATAATGCATGATCACATATGTAAGTTGGAACCCGAAACATCTAATTTTTTGAACGATAATCGATAGGATTATGCAAATTGATTCAAAATGATAGCAGCTGGCGAATCGATCATTAAGAGGCCATACAACACTATTACTGGAAATCAAGCAAGAGGTTCCAAGAAAATATTAACAAAGAAACTCTCAACAAGAAACTACTGGTAACTGCTCAAACGAGGATAAAAGCAACAAAACTAAGCTGCGTCATTCTAAATCTAAGACAAACACATATAGTCCCCGGGTTGGTGGGGAAAAAATTAAAAACTAGCTCTATAAATGATTCTAAATAACGAGGTAATTTTTCTTTTAAACTAAAAAAACTCGTGCTCGTGGTTTTCTCACAGTTTCTCGGCAACCAAACAGATGACATCGAAAATAGTGAAAGAGACCAAGTAGGCATTGGATGCAGAGGTTTATCGATCGATTCATGCTTTGTGTTCTCCCACACAAAAGATCAGGAAGAGATCGATGAACCGCTGCATCCAGTGTCTTCGCCCCAGCTCCATGTAGATTCACATAAAAAACACAATATCAACAAAATAAATTGAGGGGGGAAAAAAAACTCCGACCTCGTTGTTTTTCCCTCTGAAAGGAAAACCGACAAAATGCCAAGCACATAGAAAAAACAGCATGAACAAAGAGAGATTCCAAGATCCAGCACGTTCTTACGAACAAAAGTAGTCGAACTCGATTATAAAAAAAAATCAAACATGGCGAACCGGTGAATTTTACAGCAGAGAGTCAGAGATCTCGCCTTACATAAACAGAAATTATGTAACACGAGGATTCAAAGCTAGAACTAGCTATCACTTTTTCTCACGGAAAAAGGGTTGAGAACATGAGCATGAATCAGAAGACTAAAAGAGAATAGTCATCACCATTGCCGTTTCTGCGCTTTGGCTCTTTTTTTCCTCTCTCTCTCTCTCTTCGCCCACCCTTGATGTGAGTCATTCCCAGACGCGCTGGGACTTCTCAAGGAAAATGAATTCGGGATCTGGTTTTGTTTTTATCTGGAAGTGAAGTTACCATCTAGCCCCTGCTCCCTAAACAGTCGAAGACAAATGATGCTTTTATTGCACGAATATCGAATTCATTTATCAGCACGTTTAATATGAATTGAGGTAAAAAAAAAATTTCATATATTTATCCTATATTTTATAAATGATAATTTTTTTTGTAAACAGGATATCTTTTTATTGGAGGTAGTCATGTTAAGATACTATTAGAATACTATCTCCGGTCTTTAATATAAGATCCTGTTTAATTTTTATTTTGATCATAAATATAAGACTTCAATCCACTTTATCTCTCATATTTACTTAATTTTTTCAAGATAGTCCTTCTAATAATTATAATTTTAGTCAATACACTTGATGAGTAAGGATATTTTAGAAAAGACAACACCTATTTAGGATAAATAACTAACTCAACTTACTTCATTAATCTCCTCAAATTAGTCAACTGGCTCTTATAATTAAGATCGGAGGTAGTATTAAATATAGGCACATCTTCTAATAAGAATTCAAACCTTAATTTATTATACTACGAGAGACTAGTATTTTCTATTAGACTAACTTTCTGTTAGTTTTATAAATGAGAATTGAAAAACTGTTCATATAGCCTTTCAGATGAGCCCATGATCATTTTTTTGTCCACGAGGAAACTAATCAATTCAAAAATTCTTTGCAGAGAGATTCGCAGCCCCCACCCCTTCGGCATAAATAGTATCTTTCTTATTTTTATTATAAAATTTTATAAAATTAAAAAGATACTACTTTTAGTCCTTAATATAAGAGTTAGTTTGATTTTAATTTGATCTTAAATATATATCTCAATTCACCTTGTCTCTCATATTAATCTATTTTTTTCAAAATAGCCCTTGTGATAGTTGCACATATTAGAGATTCCATCAAGTGGTAATTCTAACTAGTAGACATGATTGGTAAGAGTGTTTTAGAGAATTCAGCTTGAATAAATAATTAACTTAACAAATATTTTTAATTTACTTAAATTAGTCAACTAGCTTTTATATGAAGGACTGGAGATACTACATGAGAAGAATAAAAATAATGAAAAATTTTATATTTTAAGAATTGTGATAAAAATTATTAAGAGTTAATATGCATCTAGTACCCCAAAATATTTTTTTAAGTGCATTGAGCACTCTAAAATATTCTGTGGTGCATCCAATATTCCAATACCTCCGAAATATCTTTTAGATGCATCCAGCACCCTGAAATATTTTTTTTATGCACAAAAAATATTTTTAAATGTTGGACGTACCTAAAAAAATACTTTGAAGTATTAGATACACCTAAAAAAATATTTTAAGGCGCTAAATACACTATAAAATATTTTAGAGTACTCGATGTACCTGAAAAAATATTTTGAAATGCTGAATGCATTTTAATCCAATTATCAATAACTCTAGATTCTTTTTTTATGACCAAAAGTATCCATTAGATCTGGATCTCACGAGCCCGAATTGTAAGTTAAATTATTCACAACTCTATGAATAATGTAATATTTAATGATCCATGTATTAAGGTAGAGCAAATTGCATCAGTTAAATTATAAACAGGGCAGCTCATTTTTGTAATTATGCAAGGATTAATTTTATTGATATAATGATATATCAAGTGAATGTTTAGTTTAACTTATTTTAAGTAGTTTTATGCTATAAAAAATAAAAATATGAGGGGAATTTTGTTTCGCCAGCACTTTACAGTAGCACAGTAACTTATTAATTGCTAAACTCATTAATGTTTCATTTGGGTGTTAATAGATGGCAGTGTATTAGGATGGAAAACGACTTCCTTACAATCATTTTGTTTCATGGGAAGGAGCGGCCATCTGATTTTATCCACTCAGTTTATGAACTGGTTTGTGGCGAGATACGTGGAAGTAATTTTCTTTGTTTTTTAGGAGAAAACTTCGAATAAGGAAACTTGATCAGTTTTACTACATATAAATATATAGGAGTTTGATAGTACTCTTCCGGTCCTTAATATATGATTCAATTATTGAGTTAGTTTTGGTTCTAAATATAAAACTCATTTTTCATATTTATCAATTTTCTCTAAATTACCCCTATAGATACTCTTTCAATCATAATCAAGTAGAAGAGGAAGAGGGAGTATTAAGAAAGATGATTACGGTATTTTAGGAAAAATATGTCATATTTTTTAAAACTAACTAATTTACCTAACTTCCTTAATCTAACCAAATTAGTTAAATAAGTCTTATATTAAGGGCCGAAGGAGTATATAATTAATTTTCTTATTTAATACTCCATTTCATCCTTATTATAAGACAATTTCAATTAATTCACACAAACTAAATAATAATAATTAACTCATTAAATAAGTCTTAAATTATTAAAAAAATTTAACCTTACCCCATATCAATAAAGCATTGATGAAAAGAGAAAAATGGGAAGAGCCAACAAATGTGGAGCCAGCTTAATTAGTGACACTGATCTATTGGGTCCAAGCCCTGAGCAGGCAGTTACATTTTCCCGGTTCAACACCAAAATTAGTTGGACTGATATTGGTTGGTTTGTTGCTAAAGGGCCAAAAAGAGGCCTTTTATGGTAGCAACTATGAAGTACCGGCTAAAGGTACCATATTGTAGTATTTACAAATACTGTACGTTTAGGGATCCATTTTGCTTTTTATTTCATGATTTTTCCCGCTGCTTTTCAGTCAATTTCTTTTTTTCTGGGAGGATGAATATAAGTGGCATATCAAATGCTTTGAGTATTTAAATGAAAATCAAACTATATTTTAAAAGTAATTTTACAATATAAAAAATAAGTATATGTAATAGAAGTTCGTGTGAAAGCACTTTTTTTAAAAAGTAATTTGGGTATCCCAGACATTCCAGAAATAATCAAGTAGAGAAGACTAAGGGAGTGTTTGGATGAAAACCAAACTATAATTTTAAAAATGCTTTTACGATTTATAAAATAAATATGTGGAGGAGTTTGTCTTATTATGCGAAAAAATGCTTATGAGAATCACTTTTCAATTTACCAAATACCCTCTAAACTGTCCAAATCTCTGGGTATTAAAATTTTGTATGCCAAAAATTTACGTGATTCTCTAACCCGATAAAAATCCATTGAATAGGAAAAATAAGCATAAATGACTTTAAATTTTATTAATAATATATATTTTTTGGGGAGAAATACATAATCAAAGGATGTTTACATGTTAAGGAATCGCCTTATGGATGGGCATTAAAGTCATAAGCTGAGAGAGGACTCCTTTACATGCATGCATGAAGATGAGACCCACTTTTACCAATGAGAAAAGGCCTTTTATTTATTTACTCCTATATCCAAAAGCCTACTACTTTCTGACTGCAGCAAAAGGAGGCTTGCATGCTAAACACTCGTAAAGTAACCCCATCAAAATATCAAAGAACCATACTCCCTTCTCCTCCTTCTGCCCTTTTTGCCCCCTTTCCACGTCGATATTCCACGAGCCATTGTCATACATCTCGTTAAGCAACTTGCAGGAAGGAACGAAGAAAGAAAGAAAGATCCTTTATTTATATGTATGCGCTTCATCTCCAAGCTAATTAAGCTTGTTATTATTTCACTCATTTACAGGTATTACTGCATCGTCGCCGTCGATGAATCTACAGCCGGAGCAGCAGCAGCAAGCCGGTCCAGGAGAGGCGCAGATTCCGACGACTGTGACTACTCCGGAAACCGTACCGACCCCTAGTGCCTGGGAATCCTCTGGTTCTGTTGGGCCTTTCTTTGCGGTCATTTCTGTGCTTACTATTCTCGCTGTTCTTTCCTGCTATCTGGGACGAAAGTGGAACCCTAGGCCCCTCACCCCTTTGGAGAGCATCGAGAACGAGAACAGAAGCTGCTTTGGCTGGCTCAAGCTCTTACGTCGCCGCCCATGTATACCTGGGCCTGTTCAAGTTAACAACGTTAATAAGTCGCCGGAGATGATCATGGCTTCTGCTAAACACAGTGATGATGATTGTACAGTTGAAGAAGGTGAGGACGCTGCACAACAAAACCTGCACCCTCAGGTTTAATTAGTCATTGTTATTGCCTACGCATTTCGTTTTTGTGAAATTGATAACGCGCTTGTATTCTAAACACTTTATTTATCTAATAAATATATAACTTGTCGGGAGACTCCGTGCATTCATCTAGTGACACATGATGGTTTCGATTCTGATATATATAAACCTGGCAATGGCGTTGATGAAAATGATATTCAAATTTATTACATAGAAACGTTATAATAAGAGTTGAGAAACGAGTGTCGATCGTTTTCGTCATTTAAACACCCGAAGATGTCGTGCTTTAACAGGAATAAAATTGGGGGAAAAGGCCCAGTGGTAATTAATAATATGTAAAAGGTGTCTGAATCCTTCAAGGGAACTGGAAAAAAGAAAAAAGAATAAGAAAGACGCGTGTTTGGCTGTATGCCAATTGCCGAGCAGAGAAGTTCATCATTATCTGGGCTAGCTGGTGATTTTGCAGAGAACAATATATATATATATATATATATATATATGTATGTATATATATTATCGGTTTTTGCTTATTAATTAAATATGATACGTTCTATTCAGAATGGAGACAACGTAACGCCACCTCAGCTTTAGCTGGGCTATAGCCTTGGGAAGGGAAGGGGAGAGGCACATGGACTGCCATAAATTTGGACTTAATAAAGACACCCTTTAAAAAGTTAAAAACAAATTAATCCAGCACTCAAATCCTAGCCTAGCCCCACATAATAAAGCAATCAAAAGAAAACCGACCTAACATCTGACTGAACAATTTTAATGTAATCTAATACATTTTCAAACGTTAATATTAATAACCAAACGATACCTTGTGAGTTTCCAAGAAGGCACATGGATTACTTCAGACTCAGAGTACTTAGACGCCTTACAGAATCGTTGTCATATTCCTTCGTGCCACACCGACTCGCTTCCCTTTCGTCTTCTCCCTTTCAACATCTCTGCGACTTCGTTTCATTCTTCTCATATTTCGGCAGATCACATTGAGATATATTGAGATGTCGTCAAAGCCTCTCCAAGTCGATCAGCTTAAGCAACTAAGGGACGTTTTTGCTCGATTCGACATGGACTCCGACGGCAGCCTGACCGTCCTAGAGCTAGCGGCGCTCCTCCGCTCTCTTGGCCTGAAGCCCACCGGAGATCAAATCCACGCGCTGTTATCCACCATGGACTCCAACGGCAATGGGTCGGTGGAGTTCGATGAATTGGTGAAAGCGATACTGCCAGACTTGAAGAACGAAGAGGTGATCGTGAATCAAGAGAAGCTGCTAGAGGTGTTCAAGTGCTTCGATCGCGACGGAAATGGGTACATATCGGCGGCGGAGTTAGCCAGAGCAATGGCCAGAATGGGTCAGCCTCTTACTTACAGAGAGCTCACACAGATGATCAAAGACGCGGATGAAGATGGCGATGGCGTGATTAGCTTCAGTGAGTTCGCCAATGTAATGGCCAAGTCTGCCTCTGATTTCTTTGGCCTCGCATCGCCATAACCATATAGCTCCTCATTGTATCATATGAATTTCGATTCTTCAAGGATTATGTATGCCTGCCTGTATGGCATTTTTCTCTCTTCTCTTTCCTGATAAGGCACAGAGTTGACTTCGCTCACAGATCTATCCTCTTTTTCTTTCCTGTTCAATAATACTCCTGGAACTAATTATCTAAGTTGGAGAAATGAAAAATATTAGTTAAATTAATTAATATGATATGTTTCTAAAATATTATAATTATTTTTCTTAATTTTTTTCCTTCTCGTATTTAGATTATTGTTGTGTATCAACGTCAACTTGCTAATTAGAACTTGCATTAAAAACTTGAGAGTATTATACAAGTTTTTAGGAGGTAAAAAAAGTCTAACTTCGAACAGATCACATCTACATAAGCTGGTACTTACTAATCAGCTAGATCCAAACTTCTTAGCCAAGGGAAAACCTATACACAGAAACAAATGAATTTCTTGTACTATTATTTATAGATTTTATCCTCTAATTTTTAAAATTATATATTATACATAAAAAATTAATTTCAAATAAATGATAGACGACGACCATTATGCCCTTATAGTTTTTTTAATATTTCACTTCTACCTATAAAATATATTATTATAATATTTATTTCAAATAAAAAATATATTATCCTAAGTAAAAAATAAAAAATAAATACATTATTATAAAAATTATTTAAAATAAAAAATTGTTTAAATAAAAAATTATAATATTATAAAATCAATTGTTTTTTATAAATATATTATTTATTAAATATATTTTAAAGCTGGAAAAAAAGAGCCTAAAGAGAATAAAATTTCATTTTTCTTAGAGCATATAAAATTTGTTATTTGATATTTTAAATATATTATTATATTAATTAGAATAAAAAATTACTGTACCAATTTTTTAATACACATATTAACATGATAAGACTGAATTTTTATTAAATTATATGATTTAAATTAAGATGTAAATTAATTTATATAATATATCAATAAAAAACATAAACTAATATGTAAGGGTAAAATGGTAAATTGATTATTACTATCCCTCCCCTCCCATTCTTGAACCAAACAAGGGATCATTAAATACCCTTCCCTCTCCTCTTTTTTAATCAAACCAAACAAGGTGAGGATGAAACACTCCCTCCCCTCCCCTCCCCTAACCCTCCCTCCCCTCCCTCCCCTCAAACTAAACAGGCCCTAAGGCAAGAGTGTCCCCGAGCTCTCGCGCGCGCATACATACATACATACTTATTTATTTATCTATCTACATCCATCCTCTATGGCTTTTTCAATAGTTTTACCCAAAAATTAGAAAATGTATTGGTGTTCAGAGTGTTTCTTTTTTTTTGACCAGCAGGTGTTTATAGTGTTTACACTTTAGAGACCTATCAGATTTTGATTTCCCGGCGAATTAAGAGAGTGATGGGTCCGTTTAGATGAACTGTGCCATGAATAGTACTACATCTAGTCCTACTGATAAAAGTTAGTTGACTAATTTAAAAAGATTAAGAAAAAAATTAAGTTAGTTATTTGTAATAAATAGGTGTTGTTTTTCCTAAAATATCCTTACTAATCAAGTATATTGACTAGAACTATTATTATTAGAAAGACTATCTTAGAAAAAAATACATAATATGAGAGGCAAAATAAATTAGGGTCTTATATTTAGGACCAAAATAAAAGTTAAACAAGATCTTATATTAAGGATCGGAGGTACTATTTACTAGGGACAATGACGTCTAATACTAAATTCATAAATCTTTTATTAAATAACGTTTACTATCGGAAAAGTTGTAAACCACCTTAGTGAATGACAACTGCTCATACATTCACACTTCTGCTGATAAATTTACACTCTGTAGAATAAATTTGAGGCCTTTCTAATAATTAATTTAGAAATCTGGTCCTTTAACATAACTTCTCTGAATATTCTGGATCTTCTAGAATGAGATATTCTGATCTGAACATAAGGAAGAGTGTTAAAATATCTAGCCTTCTGTATATACACACGCAGAAAACTTCGTCTATAAAGTAAATACTAATGCTGACCCCACAAAACAGTATTAATATTTTTAAAACATTAGAACCTCTTGGAATTGATTCTGGTGCTCATCATTTAGACAAGCATCTTAAATTTATAAGATTTAAATCATTCATATCTCATTTAGATGATTCGGATTTGATTTTTTTTTATTTGTTCAATATAATTATTTTAATATATATAATCTAAAATAGAGATAATCATTTAACTATTATTTTTTTAAAAAAAAATTTTATATTTAAAAATAATTAACTAAAGATTTTAAATCTGAACCGTTCAGATCAGATATAGATGGTCCAGATCTGATAAGTTTAAAATGCTCATCAAAACAATGAGTATTGAAACTAATTCCAGGAACTCTCACCTCTTTTCACCTAAACTTTTTCCAAGAAATGTTTGAAGATTTAGCCATAAATATGGATCATAACTATGGCATAAAGAATATTTGGATAATGTCATAAATTTTATACTCCTCCAGTTCTAAATATAAAACCCTTATGCACACTATAAAAAAGGTTTTATATTTAGGACTGGAAGAGTATTTCATATTGAATGTTGATATTCATCATATATTCATACACTACTGACCATTGCCTTGCATCTAATCTCCAAGTAGTCAAACTTATTCCACGCCAAGTGTAGCTTTAAGAAATCAAGATCTTCGGAAGAACAAAAAACCTCCAGATCCTACATTGCTTCATTTCGCTGTCTTCCTAGCAGAGAACTGGAAGACCCATCTCTACCTTAAATATATACAATTGGCTCAATGTTGGGGGGGGGGGGGGGTATACAAAGCAAAGTTAATAAAAATGCCCATTAAGGGATGCTCTCAGAGTTATCTTCAAACCGTTTAGATGCCTCAAACCGAGCTGTGAAGCCCACGGTCGTGTGGCGTATAGATCTAGACCGTACCACACTACAATATTCTGGATCATTTACTCGGCCATCCTTATTGATCCAATGTATCATTTGATGGTATGAAGGGAAAAACCTCATCTTTATCGAAGCACAGGCGAAATATGGAATGAGGCATGCAACAACAACAAGCAAAGTGACGAGCCAGTAGGAAGGGGCAGGCGCACAAGCTTCAATGAAGACCTTATAAGCAGTGGTAGATATGGTAGGATCCATGGCTCCATAGGCAAGAAGGAATAAATACCAGAAAAGAATGCTACCCCAGATGAAAATATGGTGTATGAAAGTGAAGTAATTGATTGATACTGCCATTTGGCAATTCACCACCCACACTACACAAGTGTAAATGGCGGCTCCAAGGATTTCTAGCCCGACAACTTCGCCGCTTTTTCGGAAGGCTTGACTTTCCAGTGCACTGATGCAGAGGAAGAATATCAGAGTGGCACTTAGCAAACCGTTGAATTGCCAACTGAGTATCCTGGTCCATCTGAACAGGCTATTTTGCACGCCTTCTTGGTATAACAATGGAAACTGTGTGATGAACACAGAAGCAAAGAGGTCATGAGAAGGAAACAGCTAAAAAAAAAAAAAAAATTGACTGCCAATCAAGCTACTAAATTGTATAAAGGGGTTACCTTGAGACAGAATTCTGCAGAGACATCTTGGTCAAGCACACCTAAGGCGATCACCGGAAGTGACGTGAAGAGTACGTTATACAGTGATAAATACCAATCATTATATACTGGTTGTCCGGAGAATGATGCATATATCTCAAAGAAGAAGAGGGTGAAGCCAAAAGTAATGTTCTTGTAGAAGAAGTAACAGACCTACCAGACAGAAAAAAGACTAGTATGTCAGTAATAAAACAGATAAAGGCAAAAGTTTGGCAAGATGCCAACACTTCGTTGTGATAATGAAGTTGAAAAGACAGGCTGAGTACCATGGATGAGATCCTTCTGTAACACCAATGTCCATGCACAAGAAGTAAGCGCTCTAAGAACCGAAATTGGGCAATGGCAATGTCACTTGACATAACAGCCTGAAAATTTAAGTGCAGCACAAAATTCAGTGTTGGGGTTATAGAGTGGGAAGGAAAAATCAAACTGAAAAACGGTAAGCTGTGCGGTATTTCGAACTTGCCTGCATTCCCTCAGCACCACTGATACCAATTCCAATGTCAGCTTCTTGGAGCATCCCAACATCATTTGCTCCATCACCAATTGCTAGAGTTGTCCTAGCAGTTTTAGTCTTAACTAGCCTCGTAACCTGCATTATGAAAATGAAATCAACAAGTTTTAAAATAAAACTTTTTTTTCACATAACAAAGAAACAGAATATGACAGCACTAAAAAAAGGGTGAATGCAGAAATGAGTTATGAAGTAATAAAGGAAACATACAAGTGCTTTCTGTTTGGGAGATGAACGACAGCATATGACAGATGCACAGCCAATGGCAAGTTCAAGAAACGAGTCCTTCACATCATCTTCCAATGCATAAGTGAGAGACTTCCCATCAATGATCAGAGCAAATGCCTCGGGATTTTCATCTGATGTAGATAATGACGCCTTCCCCTCCTGTATCTGATGAAGAACACTTGCCTTGATTGCCTAAAGAACAACCAAAATCTCATCAGCACATATCAAAATAGAATGTATAAGTAGGCACAGATCTTTAAAATTTTTGGGTCCATTTAGTTCATGAAATAATAGAAATGGGAATGAGAATGAGGTTTGATGGAGCGAAATATGCATGTTAGGCATGTCAAGGATAAGAATGGACATTTGTGTTTGGTTGGATAATGATGCCCCTAATATTAAAATATAGTAAAATATTCATTATTTGTTTTTTCAATTAGAATAGACAGAATTAAGTGATTGGATTTAAAGGTCTACCTCAGCAGCAGCAGACTTGTCCTCCAATTTCTCCAGTGATTTGATTTCTGGAGTTTCGGAACTAATTATAATTTGTTTCATTCCTTGCCTTAGTAAGCTACAAGCAAATCTGCAGTCACAAGAAATAAAAAGAAAGTAGTGACATCATATTATTTACAAATACGATTTCAAAATCTCTAACATATTCTTTGAACTTACCCAATATTGATTGCTGTCTCCATTTTATCACCAGTCAAAACCCAGAGCTTAATTCCAGCCTGTGCAAGCTTGTCGATGCATTCTGGAACCTAACCAACAAATGCATAACAATTCATAGAAACACAAGATGCTAATATCCGTCAAAGAGTTCTTTCTCAGGCACTCAATTATTTGAACTCATAACTCATAATTGAAGTAAGTAATATAAGCACTTGCATGGCAAGAGTGTGATATCTTTTTACTAGTATTTGTTGCACCTTGACTTCTTCCTTCTAGCTTTAAAGACCAAAAAAATAATGAAGTAAATGGATCAATTATTACACATACCCCATTTTGAAGTTTGTCTTCAACGGCAGTAGCCCCAAGAAGAATTAAATCCTTCTCAATCTGTTCTGCTATTTCTTCTACAATCTGCTCTCGATCTGCACTCACTATGCTCTTGGCCTCCGTGAATTCTCTGTTAAATCGGTTGTACTCTTCCTCATCAAGTTCACGATACGCAAGTATCAATGTCCTCAGACCAGCATCAGCATACTCATTAATGTGCTCCCGAGTTTTCTCTTCAAACTCTCTTCCATTCTTTGAAAGTCTTTCAAACATGACACTGTTTGAGAGAAAAACCATAGAAAGGCATGTTAATGTTTTGAACTTCTGAAACAAACTAGAGATGATACTCACTGAGTATCTACCCATATCGCATATAAAATTTGGACAAGAAAGTGGAGGAGGCCTAATTTCTCCCTTACAAATAGGTACAACTCTAATTAACTAAATTTGGAAACAAATAACTGGGAGGGGCTTACATTCTAGAAGGAGGTGTACATGGATTAATCTATAATACACAAGATTTAAGATATGAACAAGATTATAAACCTGTCAGCTCCTTTGGAAAGTAACAGCAGATTCCCGTCCTCATCTCTTACAATTACAGACATCCGCTTTCTTGCACTGCTAAACTCTATTACGTTTAGAAGTTTGTAGGATCTGCCAACTTGAAAAATAGTCAATAAACATCTCGAGTTTCATAAGCAGGAAAGGAGAAAAAAGTCCATATACAATAACAAGAACCTGACCTTTCAACCTTCCTGCCAGATAGAGGATCAAACTCATGCAGTAAAATGGTCGTCTGTGTCCTTTCATAGAACTCAAACCCAAGTTCTCTAGCAGCAATCACAAATGCTGCCTCATCCGGTGATTCAGCTTCATATGAAACTTTACCAGTTTCTTCATCAACTTCAGGTATTGCAGTATGGCATACAGCCAGCAATCTTAAGAAGTTTTGGATTACTTTCGCATGAGGCTCGTTAACCCAATTCCCATTCATGATCCTTTCATCTAGAAAGTTAAACCCTTTAACAGGTGGCTTTGCTACAGCAATCTGTGCAACATTGTCATCTTTTTCTACTGACACTTGTTCTCGCGGTGACCCTTTCCTTCTTGCTAGAGCTCTCTCGACTTCTGTAACACCTTGTCCATAAGCAACCCCAGCAATGGAACATTTGATAAATTCCATGGAGTTACAAGTCAAAGTTCCTGTTTTGTCAGAAAGTATGGTATGAACTTGGCCAAGTTCTTCGTTCAAATTTGAGGTACGAGCACGTGCTGGCTTGTCAGTTTCCTCATAATACATGTGCAAGTCCTGGTTGATGAAAAAGCTCTGAAGAATTTTCACAATTTCTATTGACACATACAGGGAAATGGGAATGAAGTAACCATACAACATAAGGAAAGTTAAGAAATGCAACATTGCTGCAACTGCTGCTCTATTAGGATCATAAAAAATCGAAGTATCATCTGGTCTAAGGTACCATCTTGTCATTTTACCGTTTTCAATGTCTTCACTTGTATAAATCCCAAAGAAAACAGACCCAACAAAAGAAATCATGAACAATAAACCGAATAAGAGGTAGACAATATTGTCCATCCGTCTTTCAATGTTGCTTCTCTTTGAAGGAGGCTCTGTTGAGTTCTGCACAACCTTTGTATCGTGACCGGTAAAGATTACCACACCATAAATAAAATCCGTGTTCCTCAGCTTAGAGTCCCTAAGCAAAAGTTGCTGAGGTGTGAGAGGGTACTGTTGACCCTCCAGCTCCATAGATCCTATAAACGAGTACAAATTTGCATTTGGATCTTCACATGCGATAGTGGCCTTGAAATTTTGAAAGCTTGAGTCTTCTTGCAATTTTGAAGTTTCTTCCGATGCTTGTTTCAGTTTAAGGTTTGTTTCTCCATCAAGATTCGTGGTCTCCACATAGCAAATTGCATCATCGTAGCTTGATGAAAGTAAGATGAGATCAGCGGGAAAGAATTCATCTTTCTCAACCTTTACTACGTCCCCAACTTTTAGATCCCTCCATTTTGCAGAATCAAAACCTCCTCCACGATGTACTTTAACCTTTCTGTTATTCATCTCAATATCCTGATGCAATCATAAAACTAAATTATCTGACCTAAGAATTATCAGGAGAAACATAAATAAGCAAAAATCAAATTCAACATGTGATCCCACCAAGCCTTCTATAACCTCTGTCAAAAAAACAGAAAGAAAGAAATTGCAGTTGCTGGGATGAATATTGTCCCTGTGCATGTTTCTGTGTTTATGTGTTGGAAAGAAACAAGTGTCTAGTAATAAAGCAATCACTGTAACGACATATAGCCTGTGTTTCATAATTTTTTTTCTATCACCACTACGAAATTGGGTTGTTTAAGGAAAATGACACCACAAAAAAGAAGAAGAAGAAGAAGAAGAAGCTAGCGGGAAAAGCTGATATAACATCATAGAACATTACCTGCTTCCTCCTCCTCCAATCCTCAATAATCTCTTTCCCCATTGTAAGAGCAACCACAAACGTAAGAGGAAAAATGGAGCTGAAAGGTGACTCCCAAGGAGTGACAGGGAAGAAAGCCAGGATTGCAGATAAGAGGAAAAAGAAATTGGCAACTCTTCTAAATTGCTCAAACAATGACTTGGGAAGAAACGAAACCAAAGTGTACTTGGTTGTTCTGACGTAGTTATCACCATAATTGATAAGACTAGCCTCAGCTCGTTCTGGATCGTTGCAATATACTATTCTTGAAAACCCAGGCCCTCCAATCAGTGAATGCTCCCCAATGAACGACGCTTTCCCACATGAAAAGGCATGGATTCTGCTAAAGTTAGGCCTCTTTCTTCTACGACCAGCCATTTTTCGACTATTAAAGCCCCAAAGGCCTCGAACTTTATCTGCTTCAACTCGTTTTAAGTAGCCTCTAAACACTCAACAATCCTCAAAACTGGATAGAAACAGAGCACTTTGAACAAGAGGAGCCAATAAGGAATCAGAGCATCTCCTTTTTTAAAATCCAAAACGCAGCTCTACCCCCAGAATGATATACCAAGAAAAGGGAAGTTTTGAACTGAAGTCACAAGATTGAAGTGGGAATATGTCTGTTTTGACTCTGAGAGTTGAAAGGTAGGGAAGGTCGAGAGAGAAACAAAGATAGAGGGCACTGACTCTGCACTGCTCAATTGCTCATCTTTCGTTCTTTCATTGGGATAGAAGCTAAAATGTGAGTGCTTTTTCCCAGTTTGACTCGTAGCTAAGAAAATAGTTTAAGAACGTGCACATGGCCAATGGGTTTTTCGTCCTTATTCAGTAGTTTGGACTCCAAGGCTCATACTCAACTACCTCAATAAAATATCCCTACAGCTATTTTACATTGGGATATGGGCATGAATCTATCAACAATGAACTAGGAACAATAGTGACCACTTCGTTGCATAAATCCGTCCGCTTCTTGGCATGCATTTCTTCCAGAAGGTTTGCGAATGGAAATTAATAAAAATAATTTAAAAATCAGTAGAAAAAAATGGAGTCAGAAATTTACAAAACAACTAATGGGAAAGTAATGCGGAAATCACAAAGTTGAAATTATATGAAGGAACAACTCAGTAGACGTATTCATTCACGTTATGTTACCTCATTTGCATCTCACGTTTTCTTATCTTGGCAAATAAAGCTAAATCGGTGATTATGAAAGAATATAAGTTATAGTATTGGTATTACTACTTCTGATACCTAATATAAGAACTCATTTGATTTTTATTTTAGTCCTAAATATAAAATCTAATTCAGTTTGTCTCTCATATTTGTTCTTTTTTTAAATAGTACTTGTAATAATGGTAGTTCTAGCCAATACATTTGATTAGCAAAGATAGTTTATGAAAATAAACAGCTATTTATTACAAATAACTAATTTAACTATTTTTTTAATCTACTTAAATTAGTTAATTGTCTCTTATATTGAAACCCGGAAACAGTACTTAATAATAATAGCATGATACGCATGTAATTTAATGGAAAAAAAAGAAGAAGAAGAAGATGTTTTTATCTCTTTCCGGTCAAAAATTTGGGGGGCTCGCAAAGGGAGGAGGGGAATTGAAAAAAAGTTTAATTAGATAAAGTTAATGTGATGAAGAAGTAAAAGGCCCTACCTACCATGCAATTAGTCAAAGATAGGGAGTCCATAAGAAGGCCCCCCCCGGGGGGGGGGGGGACAAAAGGAGCGATCTTCATCGTATTAATCATTATTCTCCGGTGCATGCTGACGACTCTAAAATCACCAATCTGTGAGCAAAGGAAAGTTACAATTACATTCATAACACTTTCCGTTTACTTGTCTCATTTTTGGTATAAAATAAGGATCAGGGGGGAAAAGAACTAAAGAACGTCACAGATGACGCCAAACGTTTTACGATTTGAAAATTTGCAATCATGTGCCCATCGCACATGATCTTTTGCGTCTCAACTATTGGCACCAACTTTTTTGCCGGCCAGCCACATCTCAATCCATCGCATTATATTATATAGATTTTTATATAAGAGTTAGATAATTAATTTAAAGATATTAAAAAATTAGTTAATTTAATTATTTATCATAAATATATTAATCTCTTTAAATTATCCTCTTAATGATTAGAATTATTAGGATATTTTAAGAAAAGATGTGAGACAAAATGAATTAAAATATTATATTTATGACTAAATTCAAACCTAAACTAAATCTTATATTAAAGACTAAAAGTAATATTATATTATACTTTTCCCAGTCCTATGAAATATAGTTTCTGGGATAGCATGATTTTACTTATAAGATATACTAAAAAGTGTTTGAAATGTTAACCAATTTTTTTTTTCATTTTGTCCTAATTGATGGTATATTATGTCACCACATTAATTAACTACCTTGTCCTCTCTCATTTTTTTTTCCATACTTATTCTCTTTCTCATTCTCAATGGTATTTTTTTTTGGGTAAGATATAAATAATGGCATTTACAATAAGAAAAACTATTTTGAAGGTACTTTATACTTCTTTTGAATTTTTAATTTGGTACATATGTATTTTTCTCTTAATTAGATTTTTAATTTTACTTTATTAATATCGTTAACTCTTATATAGAGATTAAAAATACTAATAGAACAAAATTATAAAAATTAATGTTGCTAAAAAAAAGTAAAATTAAATAATTTAATTAAAGGACAAAACACATAGGTATTAAATTAAAAATTCAGAAAAAGTATAGGTACTTTAAAATAGTTTTTTCTTTACAATATATATTATATTTATGGTAGTCACCTAATTTTAGCTAAATTTTAATTTTATGTTAATTGGTTATTTTTATCTTATATATAATATGGGATGGTATGTTACATTTTCCTTGGATTGTCCTTGCATGATTGAACTTCTTCTAACCCCGAAGATTTCCCCATTTATTTGAGTTTAGATCCCACGCAGTGTGAGGAGGCTCATTATCATTGGGTTTCGTTGATATCCCCGCCAAAATAGAGAAAATGTAAGCAACTTTGTCATTATTATTGGCCAGCAGCAACTTTGAAATTATCCCCGTTAATTATTCAAACAATGATCAGGTGGCAGCTCATCACAAGAAGTCAAGAAAAAACAAGACAGGTTACGAAGCGGCTCATCAATATGAAAGATATCTGGGAACATTCATGAAAGCCTAGCTAATGAATAAATAAATACATAATTCCTACTGTATTCGGATGAAAAACAGCAACAATATGCTCAAGTGAAATTCTAGAATGAATTAAGGATACAATCAGGGCAAGCAAACTAAAATGATTCAGCGCCGAATTTTAAAATTCCATTTACATTTACATTGTGTCAAAAATTATGAATTGTCCTATGGTGATTACTCCTAATAGACTGAGGCAATCAAAAATTGAGAGTTATCCCACGTGAATAAATTTAACCATAATTATCAAGAATATTTCACCCTCAAAAGCCATATTTTCGACATTTTCGCCATTTTTTTTATACTGTATTATAGTAGCAAATATTCTCTATAGTGATTTTAGAATCTCCTCTTGAGACATTTGCTCTTTCTCCCTAAAGACAGCTATAGACCAACTTACACACGTTTTTTTTCCATAAAACAAAACAGTTACATTGCATTTTCATTTAATGATAAATTTATAATTACAATATTCTCCACTAAATTAAATCCATCTTTTTCAAAAAGGATGTTGTAATTAGGTTTTGGCATTTGCCCATCTTATTTTTTGGTTTTTTTTTTTTTCTTTTGGGGGTGGGTTTGTGGATCCAACATCACCATCCAAAATACAAATAGTCCTCCACCAGAGTTACAAAAAACGAGTGTCAATCTTGTTCATTGTATGAAATTGGAAAAATGATCTACACTATTGATAACTTGTGAATAGTGTAATTTGTTACGAGTTTTTAGCTTACCTATAGATTTTATTTCAAAAAAAAAAAAAAAAAAACTCATTCACTCCCTGGCCCAAAAAAAAAAAAAAAAAACTCATTCACTCCCTCCGCTTTTTCTCTCTTATGGCATCTGCATGGTCCTTCTCCTTTCTGTGACGAGACGATCTACTTGGAGAGTCTCGTTTTCGACGATCACGGTGTTTTGAGCGCTTTCTACTTCTACCTTTCTCTCGAGAAGACCCTTTGTTTCTACCTTTAGACCTTGGATAATGAGAATCATCATCATATCTAGACGAATCACTTCCTGAATCGTGCCTCCTTCCTCGATGATGCTTGGCATGTTTTCTGCTCCTTTCTTCTTCAGACGACGAAGAGCAACTATAATCATGATGTCGGGTTGAAGGTGTTTTGATTTTCCTTGCATCACCTTTCTCGCCGTTGAACTTACTTGACTTGCTTTCAGCACCCACGCTAGTTCCCTTGGTTTTGCTGCTACCACGTTCATGCCTGGTGCGTTTTCTGCTCCTTTCATCTTCAGAAGATGAACCGCCGCCATAATTATTGTGGTGAGTCGGAGGTGTTTCGACATTTCTGTCACCATCCGTCTCCCTAACGAACTTACTTGACACAGCTTCAGCAGTATTAGTTCCCCTGGCTTTACGGCTACCACTTTCAAGCATATTTCCATAAGTGGGGTCCCTTTCTGAGATGCCAACAGCATCGTCCTGGGCATGTTGGTTTAAAGAGACATCCCCATCACTTCTAATACTTGGAATGCCATTTCTTGCATTTTCATTAGAAGTTTCTTTCTGAGAACCAGGATTTCTGGATTTTGGCGCAGTATAAGGCATGTCAGGAGGAACCTCAAGCCCCAGTTCTTTACCCAAAGATTCCAGGAAGTCACCAGCAATCAAACGGCTTAATGCAGTATTAGCAACTTCAGCTTTCTTTTCTTGGTTATCCTCTTTGATAACATTAGATCCTTCCCCTTCATCATCTGAATCGTCAGAGAAAATAGCCTGGTGATGCATAAAATGTTACCAACAGAAAGTTAGGAGGTTCTTGGGTTCCTAGAGGAATCCCTATCAGGTAGGTTGTGCATCATACAAATATGTATGTTGCCACCCAAAAAAAATGTAATTGAAAAATGATAATCTCTAGATTAGATTATCCCTAGGGGTCAAATGCCAGTGATCACAGCACAGAGAATAGAGATTGGGACCCTTTGAGGTTCTAGAGAAATTTGCACAATGAACTTCAGAAAGACAATTAAGTTGATGGGAGATCCACATTCAAGAAATAAGCAAGGCTCAAGGACCGATTCCCATATCTTGTCTTTTAATCTATGAAATTTACAGTTTAAATTCCTCTCAAACTTTGGCAGATCCCAATCCACAACAAAGGCATCTCTCCGATCTGACTCATTTGAGGCAGCAACCAATGAAAGGGCTTTTCGATAATTATGGCAAGGATTTCTATTCATTCCGGCCAACGGTTTAAGGCAAATGGCGAGGGAAATACTGGAGGGTAATTGAATGCTATAGGAGGTCATAACCTACAGATTTTGGCTTTGAAAATAATTCACATGGGGAATTTTTCCCTGATGTCTTTCATCTTTTTCATATTCTCATGTATTTCTTATATTCTCTTTATTTTTGTCGACTGTTGCATCAATTCCATATTTGGAATGCTATCCTAGCTGATGAGCATTTGATCTTATCAGAAGGGCAGGAATGCATCTGAGACTATGAACTATTAGAGCTCAAGGACAGACAACAGAATACAACTTGAATTGGTGCCTACTAGATGAAAATATGCACAATTAATTAACCAATACCTTGTAGAGATCAACTGGCCTTTCAACATTTTCAACTTCTACCTCCTCCTCAGTTTCATGCTCAGCATCTTTCTTTGTTGCATTGTCATTTTCAAATTGAGGCACACGTGAGATGTTTTTCTTGGCATTAGCTGGCTCTTCAATTCTCACATCTTTGACTGAATCTGATGTGAAGATCAGCGAATCCATTTTACTTCTAATCCGCGGCGCTGGAGGTGGCTACAAAGGACATGTAATACATTTTATATAAATTTTTCTGTAACAGTAAAAATCCTTGCCCCTTTCCACATAGTAGTACCCCATAGCTATCATAATAAATTCATATTCATTTCAATCAATGAGTAAGAGCTTGGCTCAAAACATTTACTAATAAATCCTCAGCAACCATACAAAAAGTGAAAATCATATATACTATATTAAACATGGAAACCATTTTTTTGGAAAAAAATGAAATGTAGCAGGCTACTTGAAATACCTTCCCCATGTAAGGATCAATGAGATCAAAGCGCTTGCAGAGAAGAGGAGAAGGACGCCATTGAAACTCTTCCCTCTTTGGGTGAATTTTCTTTGCTATGGAATCTTCAGTTTGCAAATCTTTCTTTGGCTGTTAGCAAAAGGTATATTAGACAGCTTGAATACAAAACTAAAGGGAAAGAAACAGCAGAAACATCAGCTTATCTATACCTCTACTCCACCAGAAGTAAACTGCAAGGCGCCAGCTGAGGCGAAATCCACAGCAGATGGATTGGACAGTTTGCTTCCCTTGCCCCATTTCCCCTTTTCTATTGCATCTGCGGCAGCCTCAAAATCTAGTCTCTCCCTAGCACGAGCAGCTTCTGACATATTACCAGCTAAACTAGAACTTGTAGAACGTAATCCCCCTTCATACTTCTCCTTCAGAAACCTCTCAAATCTTTCTTGCTTTGCAGGGTCATCTTTGAAAGGCTTCTCAAGCCCTGGTAACTCACTCTGTCAAGAAGGAAAAAATAAGGATCAGCAAAGGTCTGGACCATACCCTTGTTGAGATTCCTAGGAAATAAATTTTGCCAAAGCAATTAACTTGGTGTATGATGTCAACCGAAGCCACATATTGGTCAGCTAGCCCAAAGCAAAACAAGATGCTCTCTAATTGGGAGTGCAAGTGATCAACACGAAAGGCCTGTTACTTACTAATGATGCAGGCTTAGTAAATGTATCTGTGAGATTAAATTGGAGCTGAACATTAGAAGCTACAGGTGGGGTCGGATCTTGAAAGCTTCTTTCTAAAGGCTTTTCCCCTAAGATCTGTCCTCGGTTCTCAGCTGTCAGCCTCTGTGCACCTGCAGCTGAAGGCAGTCTCCCATCCAATGGCTGCTTCATTTGATCACTGCGTTTTTGAAGTGCCTCCCAAAGTTTTCTTGCATAATATTCATGGCCAGTACCTCCCGAAAGGAAGTTGAACAATGGATTTGACTGATTTTTTTCTCTAGATAGATCCTCAAATAATTTACCGCATCGAGCTACCAAATTTGCAACCCCTTCAATTAATATTTTTAAATTGATATCCTCAGGAGGAGGAACCTCAGGTGGAGGAACATCATAGTGCTTGCGGTCAATCTCCAGAGGTCCAGAAAATGTGTGGCGGGGTACAAAATCCTTGGGAATCACAGGAACTTCAAATCTAAAACGCAATTAATAATATCATTTTAAAGGTGGAATCATGTGTAAAAAAATAAACAGAAAAAGGAATGGAAAGATAGGCCAGTGGAAAGCCTTAATTCTCAAAAGAAATCATCGCAATGTTTTAACTTGTATCAAAGTTCCTTGCGTCCAAACATTACAATAAACTAAAAACAGTGCTAAAACTTTGAACCAAACTGCTTCTACTTACCTTTCCATCTGAAAGTCTGAGTTGGACGCAACCCGAAAGCCAGGCAGACTGCCCTGGTTCTTTTTGTTAACCTTTTTCTTCTTCTCCAATTTTGAAGGCTCATCAACTTCGTGAACATAAGTATCATATTCATGCCCTAAACCCAAAAAAAAAAAAAAACAAACAAAAGAAGTCCACTTAGTTATAACAAATCTAACAGTTCTATTAATGTGAAATTTGCAAAATTAATGATGAGGACGGTGAAGGCATCATTGCATTATCATTTGATGCAAACCTCATTAGTCTGATAATGATGCTATCTAATTTTTCAACAGCTGTATTATACTGAGTTGCAGAGGTGGTAAGGAGAAAAAGTATCTTAACATCAATAACTAAAGGGAACCGGTGATATCAGATTATTTTGAGGTTTCACTGCGTTTTTCTCAATCTGGAGCACATAGAGGGTTTTGCTCAGCAGAAACTCAAGAGAAATGGGGGAAGAATTATTGTACTAGATTCAAGTTTCACTTATTTTTTATTCTTCTCATCAAAGGAAGCTTCACTCACCTTCTCAACCATATCTATGAGAAAAATTTATCATTCGGTTATTTAAAAAAGTACACAGACATACATGTATTCAGGACTGATAAAACTCAAGTAATAAGCATTATCTTTAGCAAGGAAAAACTGAAGGTGCTTTTGATTAGGTTTCTCACTAGGAAATGCAATCTCTACAGAAGTCAAGCATCACCACCAAGTTTTATCAATTATAATACAACATGACAGTGTCAAACTACAAACCCGCATATACATCCACATCCTCATCATCAAGTTCTTCAAGTGCTCCAATTCCAAAACCAGGGGCAACATTTCCTGCTGATGAATTGAAACTATAAGTTAATACAACATAGGAGAAGACCTAATGAGAAGACATGCATGACTAATAAGAACAAGGTTAGAATCAAGTTCTTACACTTCGAACCAAAAAGACTATCTTTCATGGAAAAACCTTTGCTATACCCAGATCCACTTTTGCTAGACGTGCGTAGTCTTTTTTTCTCTGGAGAAAAAGAAAGAATACATAAAACCTCAAGTTCTAGCGATCAGACCACAGGCTCCATAAATAGATCGAGAAAGAGTATACCCCTAAATTCAGGAGCATGCTTGTAAGGATCAAAACCTAAACCATAAAGGTCTTGCTTTGGGCTGAGTATGTAAACCTGAGAAAAAGAAGAAAAATCAAAGATGTAGACTATATGCCTGCCATGAATGAAAATAAAAATGCCAGATAAAATTTGAGTTAACAGATAAGTTTTAATTAAAAGCAGAAGGGTTAAATTAATCTGAGCCCAATGTCATGAGAAAATAAGATTATTTTTGTGTAGACAACAAAAAATTTTTATCCTTGGGGAGAGACTTAAACAAACACAGAAAGATCGTGTTGCAGTTATAACAATCTTGCCACGTAGACAGCTTATACATCACTTGAATGCACAAATTATGACACACAAGCCTTCAAGGGTGTTCCTAGCCTTTTGATAATTTATGGAATAGGATTAAGGGTGTTTCTCTGGTTTTATGTTCATGGTTTCCCCAAGAGCTTGTCTCTGTCAGCTATGCAGAGGGTTTGGGCAGCTTTGTTGCAAGTTCAAGATACTGAATTTTTGCTTATCTCTCTCAAGAAGGATATAATACCCTCCTCTTTCGTGTCTTACTTTCTAGAAAACATTTTTCCTTTCACACCTTAAGGTTAAATATAGTTTATAAAGTCAAAAGAGAAATTCTCTACAACATTCACCAGACAAAACCAGGAAAAACCGGATAAATATCCCCTTATGCAATTAAAATTGAGGACTGACTTTAACTTCTCATCTTAGGATTAGGTGGAAGATTATCACATCAGTGGCAACTCTTCTGGATTAAGGTTCTCGGGGATACTAATGCCCCCCCACCCCACCCAAAGAAAAAAAAATTCCTTGGACCCAAAAAAATCATACAAGAATCAATGAATCGTATCTACAGAATTTTCTACTTAATAAGAGACATCGTATTGGAAAGATGAGAAAGTACAGAGTGCTGAGGATAAGAAATCCTCAAGTCAGAAAAATTTAGGGGGGGAAAAAACAACTATAGTGAGGCAAAATATCTCACCGGTGTGCTTTTAGAGGATGAAATATCATCATTTACAGTCTGCTCAAGAAAATCATGCATGCCCGCCTTCATAGGCTCTGAATCAGTCGCATGCACTTCCAGATCATCCGTACTAAATGCTAGAAAAGCTCTCCGGGCTTTTCTTCTGGCATCTGTGCAGAGAGCAACTAAATTATTTCAGAGGTATTTCAAGAAACCTACCAATTATACAGAAATGTAACTAGTGCTGACCAAAACGAGGAAAAACACTATATTATACTTTCATAACCCAACAATAAGATAATCCAATGTTGGATTAAACTACTCTCTTCGTCTGAAAATAAAAACAAAAGGAAACAGGTTGAGGCATCAAGTCTCAGATTTATACTAATATGAGGGGGAAAAATAGCACTGGTTCTAGAAACTAAGAAAAGCATACCATAAAGCGCACTTGCACGTGAATCCTTAATGGAACGACCACGTCGCCATCCCATCTTCAACAGCAATTTTACCCCTAATAAAATATAATAAAAGAGAGCAAAGAGATAAGCATCTTTATGGAAGAAACTACGCAGATTTATATTACTAAATTAAGTTTTAGTGGAACAGACCAACAGACTCTGTGGCTGGAAGAACTAATTCATCAGGGGCTGGTCCAGGAATAATTGATGGCCTACAATGAATGGTAAAGGCAAAAGGATAAACAAAGATGTGTCACAATGCTTGGAAAAGGTAAACAAATAGACAAAATTAATATCCATATCATACACGATCACTCATTCCACGTCAATAGATGTAAAGATACAGAGAGACTATAGTTATTAAAGGAAGGCAAATGTTAAACTGCTTCAAAGGAAACAATCAAATCAAATGCATTACAATGCGAAGCTTCTGAAATTTATTTGAACACATCACCAAATCCAACAATAATCAAGCCACAAGTTCAAACATAATAACTTCATCCATTGCAACTACAACTGAAAAATTATATTAGAATGTAGAACTAAGTTAATTCTTCCAGAACCAAGAAAATAATATGGAAAAATAGCATTTGAATTATACCCTGAGAGTGGCCACCATTTGGATCAAAACTTGGCAATGCAAAAATTACAAGTATTATGCTTTATTACCCTTTTGTTTCTCTGTCTCTCTTTGGGTGAAAAATTTCATGTAAAGAATGAAAAAAATATAGGAGTTCGTTATCCTCTACTCAAAAGAAAGTAACAAAAGAAGCCCCCCCCCCCAAAAAAAAAAACAGTTTTTGTCGTTGCAGTGAAGTTCTCCAAACACTTTAGATTTTTGTTCGCAAAATTTCCCCCAAAAAAGAAAAATCACCGTCAGACTAAAAGAAATTAAATAAAGGTCAGTAGCTGATGACACCAATATGTCTTAACAAGTGAAACGCATAATATACCAACAATTCAACTTTTCTAATGTGCAATTTAGTCATCGATTCATTTTCTTCCCCAAGAAAAATCAATATAAAAATAAGTCCATTCAGATATGCATAGCAGAGAAAGTTAATAATAGTTGCAAAAACCAAAATCACCTCTTCTGCTGTTCCTTCTCAGCTTGTTTACGAGCAATTTCAGCAGCAGTGAAACCAAATGTATCAAACTGCGAGGATGTCCCCAAAAACCGACCTTCCAATTCCTATTAAACATACAAAGGGTGGATAGATTAAAAGGAATGGCGAAACAGATATTAAATCCCCAATCACCAATGAAACAGATACTCTGCCTGGTTGACTTCATCTAGACAAGACACAAGAATAAGCATTGCTCAATCCTTAAAGCCTCATAATATAGTTGATAAAGTAAAAATCACATCAATAGCTACTGGAAATGGCATAATAATCCTAGATGCATGTAGAAATGCACCAACATCTCAATATCAATCAATAAGTCAACCATGATCAAGTTATTACTTGGGCAATATACCTGGTAAGTCCCTATGCAAAGAATATAGCACATAAAAGTAGAATGGCTGAGTATTGTTATTGTCGTGTTCATTTGCTATTTATTGATGTGAATGTTGATTCCTTTCTTTTTTTTAAAAAAAAAATGATTTGCTTTTTCTAATTTCTTGTGGTGTTACAAAAATTTTGAATCCTTGTGCAGGTGCACAGAAGTTAAGGCTAGTTCCTAGGTGAGCCCAAATATTGACCTGGGCCTTACTAAACAACATCAAATGGATAGATTAAAATTTCCATATGTTCGATATTACTTAACTGCACACATGGATTCATCTTTTGACATGAATATAATTGGAAGATAATGAAACGTGTGCAATGTTGATACTCGTATATGCCCACTAAGACTGACATAAACTTAATAAAGAACATACCGCTTTTTCATCATCATCCAGGAAATTCAATATGCTCTGCTGTTTGACCTCAGCTCTGTTCTTCCTGGATGATGTAAAAGACTGAGGAGCCCACCCTGCACATTCATCCAAAAGGTTAAAACCCATATTCAACCAGTGAAAATTCAAACACTGTAAGGCCATTATGAATTACACCTTCCTTCGAGCCCACGGTATTATAGTAACCAGCAGAAAACCCTCCTGTAAATGCTCCATGGAATCTTCTCCTCCCTTCTTCATCTGTGACCTGCAGACGGTAACATTAAAAGTTTTATTGAGGTTAGGCTGCATGTGGAATTATATAACTTGAGCCAAAATGTTGCCTGACGAGAATTCCAAGCCCCATGATATATGCGAAGTAACTAAACAACACAGATCCGGTACTAAAGTAATAACCGGAAACATCTATAACCAGAGTAGGCACTTAGCAAACAGCAAGGCATCGCTGAATATGTCATGCAAACTGCGTCCCGGCAACTCAAACCAACTTCATACAAAGTGTATAGCAATTGGACATCACACACACACACACACACACACACATTTCAATCGACTTAGTTTCCAAGCATAAGTTAAGGTCATTCAGGATCGTCCTGCTAAACTACCTTGGCATTAAGGTCTCACATTACATACAATAAGAAACACACCCATAGCACATTTTCGCCAATCTCCAGAGAGCCCACCAATAGAATTAGACCTTTCGATTGAAGTGTACCGCACGTTTCAGGGAATTCAAAGAACTCAAATGGTATAACAGATTCAGTAGCTAATCATAGTGGAACCAGTAAAACTTACCTCTTGCTTCCAAACAGGAAGGGTTCGCAGGTGACCGGAAGCCTCAGCAACTGCCTTCTTCTTTCGGCTAGTAATCTCTTCCTCGCGCTCTATCGGCGTTCCATGGAAAACATAATCATCGTCGTCCGATTCCATTTAAACCTTCTCGTCAAAGTGCAGGTTGTGATTAGAGTGATGAGTTCGTGATTGAGGAAATGATTGATGAAATTTGAAGATTGTTTTGGTCGAAGGTAATCGAATGAATTGATGCAAAGCGAAAATGGACGAGTGTAGAATATGACGCAAGGGAAGAAAGGAGCAAACGAGCAGTGATATAGGAAGAAGCCGCGGACGCATCAAGCTCAACGCTTGAATTCATTGGACAGCGTCACAGACCAAAGAAGAACCCTCCAATTTCTGGCGCAAAAGGGGAAAAAAATAAAAACAAAACGGCAGTTTTTTTATTGTAGAAAAAAGTATGTATCTACCATATTTTAATTCAAATTTTAAAAAGAATAATATAAATAATTAATACTGATATAGTAAAAAAAGTTCACTGTTTACTTAGCAGGCTAAAAAAATAGTATAATGTTAGTAATGATTTTTTTTCCTCTGAATTTTCTGTGATTTTATAAAAATTTGAACCCCGTCCTTTCAGAGGTTTACTATATAATGTAAATACTACCCCTGGTTAATATAAGAGTAATTCAACTTTTAATTTAGTCATAAATATAATATCCTAATTTACTCTATCTTTTTTTTTTTTGGAATAATTTTTATAATAGTTGCATGTGTTAAAAGTTTTATTAAATGATAATTTTAACTAATACACATTATTAATAAGCGTATTTTAAGAAAAACAACATCTATTTATTACAAATAACTAATTTAACTAATTTTTCTAATCTTTCCAAATTAGTCAATTAAGTTTTATATTGAGAATTGGATATAGTATTTGTCTAATATATTTTTAATAAGGCACCTCTTCCAAAGTCATTTATTAGTTTGCTATATTGTAAGGGGCTGATTCAGCTGTGTGTTGATATATTTGTTTTATTTTTAATTTTACCCATTAGAGTTTTTGGAAGAGGCCAAGGGCTTATGTTGATGGCCTAATTAAAACTGGAAGAGGTAGAATTTATTAGGCCATCAACATAATTAGAACCGGAGATAATAACATGCTCTTACTCATCCTGACTAGAAGAGAAGAGACTGACTTTTTTTCAGATGCGTTTAATCTCTCTTAGGGTGTGTTTGGTATGAGGGATTTGGGAGGGAGGGATTTTAATAATTTCCCCTTATTTGGCAACACACAGATTTCAGGGAGGGAAAATTTCCCTCCCCTCCAAAATTGGAAGATTTGGAGGGAAATGACAATATTTTGCTATGTTATGACTATTATGCTTATAATTTGTCATGTTGTGACCATTATGTTCATATCTTAAATAAAATAAGAGCAAAATTGTCCATATTATAAATGAAAACAAGATAATATTAAAATCCTTCTACTCTCCTTCCCTCCCCTCCCCTTCTTCTTATTGAGCCAAACATACCTTTAAAGAAGGATTGCATGGCAACTTCCCCGTTAAGGTCTCTCAGTAACATGGAAAATTAGAAGATTACATGACAAAAGACTAACTTTTTTTCGGATGCGTTTATCCTCTTGAAGCAGAATTGTGTGGTAGCTCCCCCATTAAGGTCTCATAATAACATGAAAGATTAGAAGACTACGTGATACAACATCCAGTTTTAGATATAAAATCTACTTTATAATATAGTTTACACGATAAAGTAGATCTTATATTTAGATTCGAATGTAGTAACTAGTTTGTGAAGTTACACCATGCTTACAGGAATGCTATTTGGTATGCTGATTACTGGGCTCGGGAGGGTCACAATGATTTATCTGAGACAAATGGAATGTTCCTGGAAGACAAGCAACACATTTCGTAAGTTTTTGTGCGTTTACTATAGGCTTTGCTTGCCCCCACCTGCAACTAGTAACACAAGGACTTCTTCAGCTACTTGATTTCTGATATGTAAAGCAACATCCTTCCTCGGGACATGGCTAGAGTTTTCCAACCCTTTCTTCCGTACCTTGCTTTTACCGGGACTATTTTTGACAGTATGGACTATGGAGGCTCTTTACTGCAAATGATAATTCTCCTCTTGCTTTGGTTTTAATGACTAAATATTGCTTTATGATGTGATCAAGGAGAAGGTGGGGTACTTCCTCGGTGGCACATGGGGTAGACAAGTAATTGTCGCTTCAATTTTATGATGAACATGTGGCTGATTCAATATTGTCAACCACCTTTTGGGTTTTTAATGTTGATGGTAAACGAAACTGAGTTGGGTGCTTATAATAAAGTTGCTGATGGATATAGATTATCGTCCTTATCTGAGATTCAAAATAATGACCAAACAATCTTTTCTGTGCCCTGGTTTAGAAAATTCCCACCAAATTGGTAAAGGGTGTTCTACCGACTAAACAAAAAGCTTCAACAATGTGTCAAAAAGGTTTCGAATGTGCGAGAAAACTCCATTGTGTGCCGAAAAGATATTCTAACTTGCTATGCAACTTCCGTTCGTCTTTGTAATCATAACTTTCTAATATAAATTAAATCTTATCGCTATTAGAGAAAAACTCTATTTCACACAAAAATTTTAAAATATGGACTGACAATTTCGTAAAAAACACAAAGGCTAGCAACTTCTTGTTAGTTATTGCCCTTATTTCATAGATTTTTTTATTTATAACTTGATTTTTAATATAAGAACTAATTTAAAAAATTAAAAAATTTAATAAATTGTATTTTATATTAAGGATAATAGTTAATAACTTAAGAAGAATAAATAAATTGTATCTTTATTTTTGTTAAAAAAATTGTATCTTTATTTAGTTTCAGTCATTTTTCTAAACTAGTTAATTGTATTTTATATTAAAGATATGAGGTAATAATTTTTTTATTTCATGTCATTAAAGGCAAATCGGTGATTTTATAGTTTCATGAAAATTTTCCTTGAATTATTTTTTCCATTTTAAGTCACTGAGGACAATTTACCCGTTTTACACTCAAACATTATCCATGCAAAGACATAAACAAATTTCACAGAGCGGGCAATTAGCTCTTTAATGGGATCTTCCAGGCACCAGCAACCTGATATTTTTCGGATTTATTTTATTTTAAATCAAGAAAATATATATTTATTTGCAATAAACTCTTTTTTTTTTTAAAAAAAAAAGACGTTTGCAATAAACTCTTATTTTATTTTACGTCCCCACGTAAATCTATTTATTTTAAATTTGATGATTCATAATACTCCTCCCGTCCTTCATATAGGACCTAATTATTGAGATGATTTTTTTGAGTTGATTTTGGTCCTAAATATAAGACATATTTATCATATTTATCAATTTTCTCTAAATTACTACTATAAATACTCCTTCAACCATAATCAAGTAAAAGAGAAAGATGAGGTATTAAGAAAGATGATTATGGTATTTTAGGAAAAACGTGTTATACTCCTCCGATCCTTAATATAGGACCCAATTATTGAGTTAGTTTTAGTCATAAATATAGGACCCATTTCTTATATTTATCAATTTTCTCTAAATTACCTTTGTAGATACTCTCTCAACCATAATCAAGTAAAAGAGGGAGAGGGGTATTAAGAAAGATGATTATGCTATTTTAAGAAAAATATGTCACATTTCTTGTAATTAACTAACTTATCTAACTTTTTTAATTTAATCAAATTAGTTAAATGAGTCTTATATTAAGAATCAAAAGAGTATTTCTTATAATTAACTAATTTACCTAATTTTTTAATCTAATGAAATTAGTTAAATTGGTATTACTCCTCCGGTCCTAATTATAAGACCCAATTGACTTATTTGAGGAGATTAAGGAAGTAAGTTAAGTTGGTTATTTATAAAAATAAGTGTTGTTATTCCTAAAATATCCTTGCTAATTAAGTATATTGGCTAAACTATCATTATTAGAAGGATTATCTTGGAAAAATACATAATATAAGAGAAAAAATGGATTGGGTCTTATAATTAGAACCAAATAAAAAGTCAAATTGGGTCTTATAATAAGGACAGGAGGAGTATATTAAGGATAGGAGGAGTAATATTGGATCCGGCAATAGTTCGGATCTTTTATCAACTACGACGCGCTTCTTTAGCGAGTGAAGGAAGCTGGCGACAACGCGCTTCAGAACTGTAGTCGCCGTATTCGCATGCGAGCGAGAACTTGATCTCTCTTATCCAGACCGTCATGTCCGTCTCTGATAAATCCATATATCAACGATGTCCTCCCTCCTCCGGTTTCTGATCTTACTGCAACTCGGATCTTCGATCGGTTGACTCGTCATCTATTCACTCTTTGACAAATTGGGGTTCCTCTCCTCCTCGATTCGAGCTGGTAAATCGGTGATTTGGTTCTGTTTTCTCATCCTTATTCAATGCTTTGTCTTAGATCTGTACTTTTCTCCCCCCCCCATTTGTCCTCTCTTCATATGTGAATATCTGTGCAGTAACTCTTAACGGTTGGTGTAATTGGATTTAAGGTTACAATATGGATTCGATGGACATCGTGGGGAAATCAAAGGAAGACGCTTCCCTTCCTAAAGGTAATTTTACCCTATTTTGTGAATTTTATTTGTTGTTGATCTAAATTTGTTCTTCCCTAACTTAACATTGAAATTGTTTTGATGGATAAGATGATTCTGAGATTGAAAAATTGATTATTTTAGAAATACAATCATTTGGGCTTATGCGCAAGAACCTGTTCGCCCGGTATTATTTTGAATTAATCCGCTCCACTAACTCCAGAAGATCCAGATGACTGAATTTAAAAATCAAGATATTTCATATACATCTATATTTCTGAGACATCTTCGTGGTACTTTTAATTTTAAATTGAAATTTGAAATCGTTGATTTTGTTTTGCCGGAATAACCTAATGTAGCCTTATTAAAACAGGATGTGAAGAGAGATCATAAATGGCACAGAACTTTTATTTCTGGTTAACGAGTTGACATCAACAAGCCATACTTAGCTGGATTTATATTTCTTACTTTGAACTAGGATCTTGTACTGTTGATGTTTCGCTTTTTCCTGACTATTACTAACTACTGTTTAGGTTATTGCTGCTAATGATGGTGGTGTCTGGTTCCTTTAATTTTGATGGGACCTAAGGCCCAAATGATTTCCTTTGTAAGTTTATCGTTAATGCCTCGTGGCTTTGCTCACTTGCCGAAACAATTTTTTTCCCCGCAGCAACTATGACAAAAATTATTAAAGAGATGCTACCCCCTGATGTACGTGTCGCAAGAGATGCACAAGATCTATTGATTGAATGCTGTGTAGGTGAGAAGTGTTATGTAACTTTTGGTGATTTCATTATCAAACAAAATCTTTATTAACCCAGAGACTCCTTACACTTCCTTATTTCGTTTTCTTGCCCTTGATTGCTTCTTAAATTTTAGCTGTTACTTCCTTTTTTTTTTTTTTCCTAAGCTGTTACTTCTCCTTTGTTTGTTCGACCTGTATTTTAATGATTTGTCTATGACATGTTACTCATGATTGTAGAAGGCAAACTGTCGCAGATGTTTTGGGAGCATTAGTTGATGAACTTGTTATTCTAAAGTTGGTCATGAATATGCAAAATTCCCATCATGTTATTCGTTTGAGTTTTTGTTGGGTGCCTATGTTGTAAATTTAGTAAACCCTCTTTTAACTCTGCTGTGTTATGTATTGCAAATACGAACATGTTGAAGTTATTCTCATGCTGTCTTCTCTTTCTTCTTAGCACTTTCATGCTTATCGACTTAAAAAAATGTTGAGTTGCTTGAATCTTCTGACTTTTGGGTTTCAATTGTATTACTGAATATGATTTTGTTGGTTGATCTATATTTTTGTAGAGTTCATAAACCTTGTATCATCAGAGTCCAATGATGTCTGTAATAGAGAGGATAAACGGACAATTGCACCAGAGCATGTATTGAAGGCTTTACAGGTTATTTATCTGCCTAACGCATTGCTCAAGCCATATGTGTTTCTGCTTTGATTTATATCCTAGTGTATCCCGTTGTTCTGTTTCTGCCTATGTATCTTTTTTAACATGACCGTATTGGTTTTTATACTTCTTTCTCTTTGTTGTGGTTCTGTGGCAAATGGCAGCCAGTTTTTACTTTTCTCAAGGATAAATGTATCCTGTGCTGTCATTTATCTTCTTTTTTAATATACTTTATCATGTTATTAACGTACAGGTTATAGAAGTGGCTTTCCATTTTGTGTGTAATGGTTGATATTTGGTGAATATGATGGGCGTTAAACCCTTGGAAGGGCACATGATCATTAATGGTCATGTATTGTTACTTGAATTGGAGTGGGATAAACACCACATAGCTTCTGAATATGATGGGCGATAAACCCTTTTAAGGGCACATGATCATAAATGGTCATGTATCGTTAGTTGAAGTGGAGTGGGATAAACGCCATATAGCTTCATCTCTAACACGAAGATCACCATTGGATAATAGGTTTTATTGACGCAGCTTATGGAAGTTATGTCATTACTTGATAGGATCAAGGGCAATTTCATTTTTTCTCTCTTTAATTAATTTTCTTTCTAGAAGAAAAAAGTGGTTTGGTTATAATTTGTTGCATTGTTATCTTCTTTGACCCCACTCTATTCTTTTCTATTCAATTGCTGCATTATTGTCTACGATTAGATCTATGTTTCTTGTAAGGATAATCTCTTAATTAGACACCCTTTTTTGCTTCCTCTTTAATCCCTGCTCCATCCTTACTAGCAAGTTTGTTCTACATAATCACAATTATATTTGTGTGAAATTGTGAAGATTGGTTGGATTATGTGTTTACTGACGTGGCTGAAACCATTTTTATTGACTTACACCTGCTCTATTCAGGTTCTTGGATTTAGTGAGTACATTGAGGAAGTTTACGCAGCATATGAGCAGCATAGGATTGAGACCATGGTATTTTGTTTACTTTCAATGCCCCTGCTTCTTCTGAATTGTTAGAATGATATAATTGACTTTTCAATAGTATATCTCTTTTGATTGCCCCCGCTCTTTCTTTGTGGGTGAGCATTGTTATCAAAAGACCATGAAAATCTGGAGTTGGCCTTGTTCATACAATCCTAATGGAAGCGGAATTTGTATTATCAAATCCGGGGCCAACTAGGGTGATTATCTTAAGGGGGCACTCGCAGCCTGGTGGACGGTTCCCTAAAGAAGGGCCGCAGCCACTCAAAGTGGGGCTGACATCTAGGATTTTCCACAGGGTATTTCGGTATGATACCTGAGATAACTGCCCATGCATTGTTTGGCTGCAAAAATCAATGTCACCCATGAAATCTCTAGTAATCTTTATGGTCCACCTATGCTTGCGGCAGTAGCTATATTTGAAAAAGAAAAAAAAAACCTTCAAACTATGATGATATTGAAAATTTTAAATTGATATTTAAAACTATGATGATATTTAACTTGAATCGAGTGTTCTGTGGTTGCGATATCAGTTTGATGTTTGGTCGATTAATGGTCTGAATTTCATGACAAGAAAATTCCCGGTGTTTCTATCCATAGCTTGTTTTCCTCGTATACGTCACTACTGCTCCCTATGGGAGGTGGGGGAAAGACACATTTAATACTGGCCAGTTAAAATGGAGAAGTTAATTATGGACCACCGTTTTTGCTTGCGTTTTAACTTGAAAGGAAAATAAAATTATTTTATTGATTTTGGTTGCCTTACGCAGCAGGACTCTTTAAGAGCTGGCAAGTTGAGTAATGGAGCCGATATGACTGAGGAGGAAGCATTGCTGGAGCAGCAAAGGATGTTTGCAGAGGCGCGTGCTAGGATGAACGGTGGGGCCGTTGCTTCCAAGCAGCCAGATGCTGACCAAACTTTAGATAGCTAACTT